TTTTTTGCTGTTTTAGTTCACCTTTTATCCCAGTTGTTCATCACTGGGGGAAAGGAAAAAATACATGAGTTGTATTTGACTAAAGAAGCCATCAATATGCTTTTGTAAAAAAATAAAGTGGCCACACACAGATTTATAATTTTCTAACAAAAAAAAAAACTCTATGGTATGTAGCACAGCTAATCTGACCAGTAAAGCTGTCAGCGTACCTTGTAGACTTCCTAAGAGGACCTGAAATGAGCTTCACATATGATTTGGGAAACCAGCCCTTGTGACCTTGGACCTCTCCAAACCACCACATGTCCTGTTGTTCTAGAACAGTGATGATGTCATTCTTATTGAAGTTTAGATGGTTGTCTTTTTTGGCTCTCCATGGATATAAGGCCTGTGCTTGAAGTCCTTCCACCTTTTCACCCTTAAAGTAGGAAAACACAAACTTTAACATACTTTAAAACACAGATACAAATCACAGTGTATGGAAACCCTAACAGTGAACTTCACTTGCTCTTTTGGTTTGTTAAATAGACATCGAAGGTATTTTGTTGCATTTGTTAGATAAGTGCCAAAAATTACCTGTTGATCCTGCCAGAAACCTTGTGAACTGATAAAAACTTCCTATGCTCTCTGCCTATGCTGCTTATCAGTTAGCATTGTTCCCAGCTTTCTCTATGGACAGTAGAACACATCTCCCTATGCTATAAATATGAAGAGAGGGGAATGTGTTCTGCAGTCCTCACACTTCCTTTCCTAGTGTGAAAAACACTGCTTCTCGCCACAAGGTTTATCACTGGAAATGAAAGGCATACTTTACTCCATGTAATTTTCCAGGGCTTCCATTCTCCAAGGTTATGAATCCTCTCCTTCCTGCATCTAAGTCTAGACCAGCGTTTGACTCTCAGCTCCATGAAGGGTCAGATTTCTGACCTTTCTATGCTGTTTCAGAGAATGTTGGCCTCTCATTCCCATGATTAAGACCTTTGTACAGGGCGTATCCCCTGTAACTCCCCCATCTTTTTGGGTTATACCACTCAATGACTCCATGGAAGCTGCATATGCTTCTCTTTGTGCTTCAGAAACAGTGTGAATCCATTAGAGGCATTCTTCTCTTAACGGTCATCACAGGGGGATTTTTCTTCTTCTGCAAAGCGAGTGTCTGAGCTTGCAGACTTCTCTTGCAAACAACCCTGTTTGGTTTTGCAATCTTCTCTTTTCTGCAAGCTAGGTCCAGACGAGAGTTTGGTTCCAGCACTAGCAAAAGTCAGATTGGAGACCTTTCTGTTCGTTTTGGAACTGCTGTTCTCTAACGTGGCTCCCCCTGTCCATTCCTCGGTGGCTCAGTGCAACCTGAATCTGGATTATATCTGTGCTTCAGAAACCACCACTAGATGCTGACTTTGGGTCACAGGAGTGCATTAGTAAATGTACTCCTTTGACCGAAAAGAGAACTAAAGCCAAAAAAAAAAAGGTTTGGCTTTAGTTCTCAGATGATCTCGGGGAAAGGCATTTCCTCCCCTGAGATGGTGTGCATGGTCACATGTCTAGTCACATGTGCCAGAAATCCAGGAAGTAATAGGAGAGCTGGTAATCTGCCCTTAGTAAACATGGCCACTCTCAGAAGACTGGGAAAGAAAATAAAAATAAGGTATGCAAAGAATACAAAGCCGGCAATTATCTAGAAGTATGTGTTTGTAGATTGTCATTACTAAACATTTCTAAAAGGTGTGTGTGTTATTTTAACCACTTCCCGGCCGGCCGTTGTAAAAAAACAGCCGGCCAGGAGCTCTCTAGATCTGAGCGGGCGTCTTTAGACGTCCGCTCAGCCACGCCCCCTCGTGCACGCGCGGGAAATGTGCGATTTTTCAAAACAGGCAGCAATGCCTGTTAACGTACAAGCAATCCGCCGGCTATAAATGAGGTGCTTGTATGAGGTCTCGGTACGTGACCCCCATCGCGGCTCCCCCGCAGCGAGCCCGGGACCGGCATAGTGCCACTCTGACAGGGTATCAGAGGGAGATCGCTACACGATCTCCCTCTGCTCCCCTCTCCGCTGTCAGAATGCGGAACTGATGTATATTACATCACTTCCGCATTCTTGTGTCACTCTCCAGCTTCAGATGCTGGAGAGAAGCTGATGAAGCAGATCTGTGCATCAGCTTCTTCAGGGGGGTCCTAGGTGACATTAGGGGTCTTGAAGACCCTGATGTCTCCATAAAGAGGACCTGTCACTTCTTTTGCTATCACATAAGGGGGTTTCTTAACTTTATTGCTGTCCAATAGGGGGCTAAGTGAAGAAAAAAAAAATAGGAAAAAAAAATTAAAGTTTCCCCCCAAAAAATTAAAAGTTACACATAAAAAATAATTCTTTTTTTTTTTAAGTCCTCCCCATACATACACGCATGCAAACAGGCCTTGGGTGCGCATACGTGCGAAAATGACGATTGCGCCCATTACGCCGCACATGTTACATATCGTCGCGAACGTCGGAATGAGAGCAATAATTCTAGGGCCATCAATCACTGATAACAGTAAACTGATGAGCTGTACAAAGCTTTTAAAGCGTCGCCTATGGTAAATTTTGGGTATGGTAGTTTTTTGTGATTTCGCTGGTGCGCGCAATTTTAAAGCCTGACATGTTTGGTGTCTTTTTACCCGACGTGACCCGATCTTTTATATTTTACCAAAAATATGGGTAATAATCATTGTTTTCTAATATAATGAAAAAATAACTTTTTTTTTCAAAATTTTCAATAATCTTTCCTTAATATAGTAAAAAATAAAACCCCCAGTGGTGATTAAATACCACCAAAAGAAAGCTCTATCTGTCCCCCAAAAAAGTGTATAAACTTCCTTTCAGTACAGCGTTGCATGACGGAATAAATGTCAAAGTACCGCAGCGCGAAATACTGAAAAATGGCCTGGCCAGGAAGGGGGTCTAAACACCTGGTCTTGAAGTGGTTAAAGATATGGGTAAAGGTCCGCTTTAAGCATGGCTGGTAAACAAGAAAAAAAAACAAAAACAGAAAAACGTACATCTGAGATTTTCATGTTCAAAGCAGACTTGGCACACAAGAGTGAAACTGCTTCCATTTCTTACTATCATCTTACCTGTCCAAGTACAGGGGAAGGAGAAGAACCGGTTACAGTGGCAGGGGTAAAAGCAGAACGTTGTCGGATCTGCCCGGCGCTCGGTACAGTCAGTGAAGGTTGAGTTGCCCATGTATCCCAGTTATCAGTCTCTGCTTTCTCATTATTAGTTGGCCACCTAAAGGGAAAAAAACACAACACAAATGTACAATAAACAATTTTTCATAAGCTTTGTTCGCAAGAATGGTATACAGCTCACAAATTGGCTGAGCTACAAGGATATCAAATCAAAATGATGCCTGCTCAAAGTAACCCAACTGCTGGCAATGTGTGAATTCAAATGGGGAATATTAGGAATCTTTTCTCAGCTTAGGATAAAAAACACACATAACCTGGGTACTTACGTTGAGCTGAAGTCAGCCCAGTTGTTGGCATTTGTAGATGTATCAGTAAAAGCTGATGATGTGGCTGTGGACGGTTTCAAGTGGACAGTGGTTTTGGCTGTAGTGTCGGCTACTTGCTTGGCTGTGTTTGGAGATTCGCTCTCAGGCAGTCGCTCGGCGTAATTGGCAGGAAACCAGCCAGTTTTCCCTTTCAGTTCTCCTCCCAGCCATCCAGGCTCCCCAGTTTGACTCTCATCCACCTAGACAAAAGAGGAGATGCAAGTTTACATTATATGCACCATGTCAGCTAATGCAAAGGGGTTCTTGGCTCATATGCAATGCAATAGGAGATGGAAAAAAACAAACACACAAAATAGCAAAAAGGACATCTCCAAATTCAGTTAAAGAATGGTTCAATAGTGTTATAGGTTTCATGTAGAGCCCAAAATGCAAAACACATACGAAAATGAAGCCTGTTAATCCTGCTAGAAATCCAGCGAGTTCTCAACAGCTTGCTTGAGCACACAACTCTGCCACTGCTGCACTGAAATCCCGAATGGTGTCATCAGGTCTGCCTGATTTCTGAAGTCCAGAAAAACAACACTAGTTGGGATTTCAGTACAGCAGGAGCACTGTGTTGTCAGCTCAAATAAGAACCTAGGAACTGACAGGATTTTTGCGCCCGGGGACAATTGCAGAGATTTAATTGTTGGGTGAGCATATGGCCACGTCCTCCCAAAGAGAAGAACAGGCTGATGTGTACAATCACACGCAGCACCTGTCCTTCCCGGGAACGGCCGTGCACACCACATGGATCTGTAAGGGCCGACTCATTTTTTGTTTTAAAAATAGAGCGATTTCAGTAATTTGAGAAATGTAAAAAAAAACAAAAACAACCCAGTAAAGCAAGTCAGGTTTCAAAGAGAACCTGTCCTGTTAGAAATATGAGGACTGCAATTATTGGGGAAATCAAAAGGTCACCTGGCAGTTACTGGCCTGTCAACTTTCTGGTTTGACAAGCAACAACCAGACTTCATGTTATCTCTGACTTTCTGGTACTCTTACTTTCAAAAAAAGAAAAAGACTAAAAAGTAAATATAAATCTCCCCTATGTAAGCTTGCACTACACAATAATAAAAACAGAATATTTACATCCCTGCAGAAGACTCCAACTGTGACAGGAGTTGCTGCTGTCCACCCTGCCACACAAATAACTGACAATCAATAATGTTCATATTTATAAGGCTTTAAAAGAATATGGCCCAAGAGCTACTAAAATTGTGTCTCACCATGACAATGTCACCAGGCTGGATAGTGATCTCATCGTGACTTCTGGCATCGAAAGGATAGAGTGCCCGGTAATATACAACCTTTACATTCCCCTGTGAAATCATTAGTGGTGCTTTCTCTGAAAAGAGCACAACGTACAGTAATATAATTGAGACACAAAGGAAGGTGTTTTCAGAATTAAACTAATACAAAATATAAAAAAAAAAAAAAAAAAAAAGGTAAAATACTGTGTGTGTGCATTTTATAACCAAGAACATCTGCACTGAACCAATTCAACCTTGCTTATACCTTTTAGAGCACTCAACCTTTGCAACCTCAGGACCCACATTTGTCCTTGGTCATTAAGTCGCGACCCAAGTTGCACTACAATGGAATGCACGGCATTGCAATACCGGGCGTTCGGGTGCAGGCGATCGGACTGTGGGCGGGAGGTGCATTTAGGGTGTCATTCAAATGAATGGTAACACAAAAACACACCTTCCACCCCAGAACGCGCAGTAGGTGCAATAGCGTGGTACAGTGCACTAATCGCATGGGACTATGCGATTAACGCACTGTACTAGTGCACCTTATGAGAACTGGAGTGGATCCTCAGTGTGGGCTGCTGTGCCGTGACAGAGCTCCATTCAGATGTGCATTGTTTGTACAGCTTCCCTTGCGTGCCCTGAAGAGGTGTCGGGAGCCAGAGTGTGACGTCACTAGTCCAGCCACCTCTACAGGGCACATGTGGGAGCTCTACACAATGCACATATGGATGGAGCTCCCTTATGGCCATACTTCCAGGACACCCCACCTCAAGCTGACACGCAGACTTTGAATGTCTGCTCGGCACGAGAACTAACCGTGCTGCACTAGGGGGAGGCAGAGGAGCCTCTCACCTAGAAAAGTGGAAGGCATGTGACAACCCACTGAACATGGGGTCACGACCCACCAGTTGAGAACCAAGGTTCTAGAGCTTTATGTCTTCACTCATATATGGACTGAATCCCCTCTTGATAAGTAGAAATACAAATTCAAGTTTTTGCAGTATATGTGTTTTGATGCCATCTCACTAAGCCCCTTCCAGTGTTTACATGTTCCCTTTTCCTGCATCATGTAGGGTAGGCAGCTGCAGCAGAGCAGCATCTCTCTCTCCAATTTGCTCCTGAGAGGATACAGAAACAACTCCCTGATCTTGATATAATCTCCCACAAATCATCACTCCTGTTGTTGCTTTTCCAGCTTTAGAAAGACATCAGAACTGCTCTTCTCCCAAAGCCAAATCAATGGCAATTCAATAGCTTGAAGCAAGTTGACACAGCTTAGATGGAGGGCAAATGCAAGTCATGAGGTGGTCAACTGCACCTGTCTAAATGTAAATAATCTCAGAACCATCTCATATGTCAAATGCAAGTGGAAAGCAAACTGCTGTTTTTGAGGCTCATGTTATATTCTCCAGCATTGTTGCATAATATATAAAATTATAATCCGACAGTCTTGCTGGAAAGCATAGTATGTTTTCTCCCCTACCCCATATACAGGTGAAACTCGATTAGAATATCGTGCAAAGTTCATTTATTTCACTAATGCAACATAAAAGGTGAAACTAATATATGAGATAGAAAAATTCCGAAACCCTGCGGATCAAGGTGACCACTTGAAGGCCACTTTTTGCGAGAGAGTCAGAATCGGAATGTCCCGCAGAGGCTCAAAGGGAGATTCCTGCAATACCGAGAGCACCAGATTCAAATCCCACGGCGGCAATTGGGAGCGAACAGGGGGAACGATACGTGTGACCCCCTGCACAAACGGACAACACTTGCTAGAAGAATCCTCTGAAAAAATCAGGAAGAAGCAGGTAAGAATACTGAGAAAAAATTCTTAGCTCCTTACTCCTGACGCTAGGCAAAAAACTGGAGACTTGTCAGCAGGTGGGGGGTTTGGCCACCGGCAGGGGCCGCCCCTAGGCTGTAATTGGTCTTTAGTTTTTTTGTGCCTAGCGTCCTTCTCCTGCAGGTGGCGATATTACCCTACAGTACATGATCTCCGATCTGTTCCCTGTGTCCTTCAATGAACGGGAGAGAAAAATCAGTTTGTGCATGAACAGACTAATGGTTATGAAACATAACCTGGTGAGGCAATGCAGTGATGTCAAGTACATGAAGTACACAAAATCAGTTGTCACTGTGGCCATGAGGGTGCTGAATGAGCATGTGACAGTACTGCCCTAAAGATGCAGAATGAGCATGCAAAAGCATGGCCTTAGCGGGGCTAAATAAGCATGTGCAGGCATGTCCCTAAATGGAGCTGAATGAGCATGTGAATGTACATGTAACAAGCCCCGCACTGCAGCACACACCTGTACCTGTCCAGGGCACCTGTCCTCCTGGTATCATTGGCTCCGGAGCTTGCTGGAAAAGTTTGCTGGCTTTTTCCTGAGCCTCCAGTTTTCGCTCTTCCTCCATTCTTTTAATAGAGTCTTCCCGTTTCTGTTTCTCCTCGTCCTGAAGCAGTTTGTGTCGTGGCAGCTCCTCCTCTTGCTTCACACGGTCCTGCCACTGTTTATCCTGCTCAATGGCCTTCCTAAAAAGTGGATGAGGAACAGATTATAAGCCCAGGTGATTAGAACAGTGACTATCAATACCTACCATCAAATCTTTTGCCTTACCCATCGCATTACTGAAGGAACAATACCAAACGGCACTCCTAAGCATAGATCCCATTTGCGAAGGTAAGAGGTCAGATTGGTTAAGCCTCCAATTTAACGGATATCACTTGACCGGATGCTTTAATATATGGAGCATCTGGTTTGCAACTTTAGGTCAGTGGTTTATGTAGCAGAGGAAAGTATTTCAAACTACTGTAAGGTTGGTGTGTTAAAGTTTTGTTTAAAATGTTTTGCAGTGAAAACCATGAATTAAAAAAAGGCCATCTTGGTGGCAACTAAAGTGCAATTTCCCAAAAAATTTTTTCAAAGGGTTAATACTTACCTGTGTCTCTCGGCCATGTGCTCCCGTCTGAACATCTAGAAATTTCTTGGGCAGGCGCATGTGCAGTTCAGATGTTCGGCCGGGAGACGAGGAGAGACACAAGGTATGTATATGGAGCAGCGTGCACCCCGCACAGACACCGTGGGACATAAGCAAAGAGGAGGACAGAGGAGTCAGCGCTGGATCGGAGAGCTGGAGGGACAGCTAAAAACTACAGGAAAGAAGATCGGATTAAGAGGCATCATTTAAGATAAGTCCCTACAGGAGGATAGTGAATGGGGGAAAAAAGTTTGACTTTAATGTCACTTGAATGAGCCCAAATGCTTTCTATAGTTGGAAATATAAGCATGTTTTGCTCCTAAAAATCAGCTTGTAATAAGACTGAATGGCTTCCAATCTCTGCTTTAATGTGTTAATTTCAGATCTAGACTAAGGCAACGTCTGTACAAACAAATACATGATCTTTATTGAACCTATACCCAGATCATGCATTTGAAAAGATTGAAAAGTCAGACCAAATAATTGAGGTAGCTTCTGATGTTTGGCCCGACTGGTCTACTTGCTAAGTGAGTCTTCATAGAGAGGGCAATTGCTGAGGCATTGCCAAGGGCTCTGGACCTGTAAAGCGTTGTGCATTCAGTATAGATTGTGCCCTAAGCAAAGTTAGTGCCCAAAAAGGTCCAAACTAGGCTATCCTTGCATGACCAGTTGGATCCGGACTTACAGTCTGAGAACGACCACGCCGGAAAGCTGTAATTTAAGAAACAAAAGCACCTGCAGCAATGTAGAGATAAAAATTGATTGAAAGAAAAAAAAAAAAAGAAAGTACTAGCAAAAAAAATTATTTACTCCTAATGTGGCAGAGCTGAAGAAAACAGGCCCATCCTCCTAGGACAAAAGACTGAAGCAAGCTGATAGTAGGAGGGGTTATACACTGGTCTGGGCTACAGTTTGCCAGTGTCCAATCCTCCTGTAGGTAACCATATAACCTAAAGGGTAAAGACTTCCTGTGTCCCTCAACAGAGGACAAAGAAAGCTCATTTGCTGCTTGACACGACTATGTAAATAATTTCATGTCCATAGTCTAGGCAAGGTGCACTTTACTGAAGATATTGCTCCTAAAGCTACAAATAATGAATATGTATAAAAAGATCATATTCTTCCTTCCACCTGCATATAAATATACCTCAACAAGCAAGAACAAAAGCAGAATACACTTGTGGTGGGGGATAAGCTAAATCCTTTCAGTACACATCTCTGATTCTTTTCATGAAGCTGTTCTCTCTTACTGTCTGTCCTGACCAGTCCTTCACTGTCATTCCTTCTCTCAGGAGGCTGCCTAGACAACAAACACATACAGTCACCTAAAACAGTGTAACCTGGTATGTTTCACTGTATAGCTCTATTCATAGAACATATACTTACTTTAAGATTAATGCTATTAAAAAGACAAAAGAAACAAAAAAGCTTTGTGTGCATTAAAAGAATGATTCATCCCCAGCATCCAATTTGTTTGTTTGTTAGTGCGGCAACAATTACCTTTCCTTCCTACATGAGCAGTGGTTATAAAGGAAAAAAGTCGTTTTTGCAGCATTAGGTCTTTGTTAGTCTGGGACAGGGATAAAAATGTGACAACTTAAAAGGAAATGAAAATGCAGGTTTTCATACAACACTGGTCTCCAGCTGTCTGAATATTAGATCTCACACAGGCAGCAGCTTCTCTGTCGGTGAGGATAAAAAATGGGTATGGTCAGGGTAAATTGTGCAGAAGGTGGGCACAGAAACCAAACAGGTCTAGGTGCATGCTGGCCAGCATCCCTCAGCTGACAGTTGTTGCATGACAGGACAGATTTGGATCTACATCCTATGACATTTTTTGGGGGGGGTTCCCCCAATAAAGGCCTTTTTGAATGTGTGTTTGCATTTATTTACCTGGTTGTTTTTTTTGCGAAGGAGTAAGCAGTGGTACTATATCCAACTTTCTGATTTACGTAATACCCCAACCCCCCCACCCCACATCACCTTGGCGACAGGATCTGGGGATGATGCCCCTTTCCCCATCTACATCAAGATACCCTCCCCAACTTGAAGGCATGTAGCCTGGTCAGGTTCAGGAAGGTGGGCTACGCACCTTCCCCTCTTAAATAAGTAATAAGGTTACACAGTACCCCAGGTTACAAGAGTAAAACACACATACCGGTACCATAGTATTTTATTTAACCCCTTAAGGACCAAGGCCTTTTTTTCGTCTTTTGCACACGGTATAATACACATTTTAGGCCTGAAAATTACTTCAAACCCCCAAACATTATATATTTTCTGAACGCCAAGACCCTGTAGAATAAAATGGAGCCAGTTGCAAATTTCTATGTTGCACGATATTAGCACAACTTAACAAACCAAAAAATGTAGTGAAAAATGCACTCAAGTTAAACTTGGTGCCCCAAAACACAATGGGGGGCATCAAAACTGGAGCAGACAAAATTTGGAGCAGATTTGCACTACAAACAATCAGCTTCTCTCATTTTCAAATCTCAACTGAGCAAACTGAAAAGAGATGCTGATTGGTTCCCATGGGAACCTGCTCCAGATTCTGTCTGCTAGTGTTGATAAATTCCCCCCAATATACTACATTTTTTAAATTAAAATATAAAAGATGAGGTAACGAGTAAATAGATACCCAGCATGCCCATGTTCAGTTCCCAAAAAAGCCCTTCGACCATTTAAAAAGCCCCTACAGGTCATCAGCTTAGGGATACGCGTATATATTGGCCCTAGAATTATTGCTCTAACTCTGACGTGTGCGGCTATACCCAACATGTGTAGCGCACCCAACGCGTGTTTACATCAAGATGGGCATGCTCGCAGGGGACTTTAATGTTTTAAAATTATTTTTACATTTAATTTTAATATTTTTTTTCCTTTACTTTAATTGCCATCACATAGGGAGGCTTACAAGCCTCCTATGCGATAGCATATTGGCAGTGACAGGTCCTCTTTAAGGTGATACTGGGGGTCCAAAAGACCCCACAGTATCACCTTTGCACTTTAAATAGCTACTGAAGTGCAAATCGCACTTCAATGGCTTATTGCTCGGCTTTAGGAGCCCAGCAACGACAGCTCAGGGATGTAATGTGCATTGCTCCCGGTCCCATAGAGCGGGGAGGAGATCTAGATCATCGATGAACGGATGTTTGCCACTCAACTCCCAAGCTTCCCATCGGCACCTGACATGCTGGTTTAGGGCCCGCAGGAGGGGCAGTGGAGCCCAGGAAACACGGTTGTTTACCAACCCGTAGAAGTGATCTGGCAGTAGCTGAGTCACCAGAATCGCTTCTATTGTAAACCCGGCCACCGGCTCTACAAATGTAAACAGTCCCGGTGGTTTGCTGTTTAAAAACCCCTTAAGGACCCATGACGGTATAATCCCGTCATGGATCTTTAAGGGGATAAAACAACGTGTAAATCCATTATCAATCATATCACCTAGCAATGAAGATCTAATATCAATCATAAAGAACGACGATCTGACAACCAATGAAATAAACACGACGAGCCACGCACAATGATCCTGCTAAACTCTTAGCGCAAATGACATTTCTCTGACCGGGGTGCTGGCTGACATCACTGACCAAATATGCTCAACAATGCCATTTAGAATGCCCTCCGGCTTGTTTATAATTTGATTATTTTAGAACAACCAATGACGCTGCTCTGTCCACACAGCACCATTGGTTCCTAGAAAGCAGTTTGCCTGAACAGCACAGCATCATTGGTTGTTCTGGTGCACTCACCTGCCAGTGTCCTAGCAACCTATGATGGGCGTTGGCCTTACCATGGCAAGAAGTTCATCTTACTTCTGAAGCACTAAGCGTGAGAATGAAGGGATGTTGCTCTATATCTATACCAAAAATAATGCGTTGCACGTTATAAATAATCCTTTATTTATACTGTCTTGTTGGGGGGAAAAAAACCATAAAACTAAAAATCACACAAATGTAAAAAAAAAAAAGAAGAAAATGGGAAGCCAGTACCTCTGAGCCTCCTCCTTCTGTCTCTCCAGCTCAATGACCTTCCTCTCCTGCTCCTTCTGCTTCATCCTTTCCACTTCCACGTCCTTCTGCTTTTCCAACTGCTGCTTACTGTGCATTTCCCGCAGTTCCTTAAAAGGGGGAAAGAATAAAACAGCCTCTGTGAATGGTGGCAGGAAGTAATCTAAGAAGTTCAACCAATTGAAACTTGCTAATATAGTAATGCTACACCTGCACTGCAAGGGTTGACTGCTTTTTTTTTGGTCCAAGCGCAAAAAAAAAACCAACCGCTTACACTCACCAAATTCATTGAGCCGACCGGCCAGCCAGACACGACAGTGCTTCCTCCTGCCTAACTCCTCCTAAGCTGCAGAGATGGGTATGTCCCTCGGTGTCTTCACATCCTATTCATTGTGTACAGATTGTGATGACTCAGGGACCTTAGAGCGCTGCAGCAGAGGGGGAGCTAGGGGTAGGGACCGGTCTAAGAACCGGCTCCAAGGATAAGGCGAGTATAACTCGTGCAGGGGTAGCCCCACTGTAAGAGTTAGTAAAATGTGTGCCCAGAGTTCTGCTTTACCAAAACAAGGTACTCAAGATGGCAGTTATGCAACACACATTGTTACAAATTAGTTATAAGGAGAAGGAGCATTACAAAAGTTCACCATGTTTATATAGCAAAGATGTCACAAAGCGACAATGAGCATTACATCAGGTATGCTGGGTGTTTCCTCTCACTCTTAGTGGTAAAGGGAAAACAAGGGTGGGGGGACACAGGATGATACCCAGATAGGAGGAGGAGGAGGAGGAGGAAGGAGAAGGGAGGGAGGGAGGGAGAAGAAGTAAGACACAGAGAAAAGGATTTTATCGGGAATAGAAAAAAAAAATATATTTTGTTTCTCTTCCGTTCATTAAAGGACACAGCTGGCAACAAGATGAGGCCGAACAGAAGGGCTACAAACGCAAGAAGCGTTGATGTGCAGGGCAAACTGAAGCATGCAGGTATGCATCCTTTATGTCGATTGACGCCAGAAAATACCTCTGGTGGAGAGAAGCCACCACCGGACGGACTCCATCTTGAAAAGAATAGGTCAAACACTGTCCTTCTTGGGAAAATTGAAAAGAAAAGATTTGAATAAAATCTCTTGAATCTTTGTGCCAGGGGAACCGGAAAGACCACCCCCGGTTGAAGACCCTGTGCGGTCAATCAGAGATCTTGCAGACACGCCGGAGACTAGCAAAGATTGGAGGGAAAGAACCAGGTTGGAAGAGGAGAAAGAAATTCTATTTTGTAACCCAAAACACTGAGTTTGCAAACCCAAATTGTATGAAATGTGAGCCAGTCGAGCATCCCCAAACAGAGGTTCCCTGACTTGCACAAAACAGGTGAGGGCAAACCTTCATGCAGGAGGTAGACTTCTCAGCAGGCTTGGAAGACTTGGACTGCCAAGATCAAATTGGCCCGGAGGAGGAAGATTTTCTGTATTTTGGGCCTTTATCCGAGGAGCATTGGGCATGAAAAAGAAATTTGGGAGTGGGAAAAGATGGACCCTGGTTGCGAGAGGCTCCTTTTACCCCTCTTAAGCTGGTAAGAAGGTACTGTTACTTCCAGTAAGATTTTTGATAATATCCAGCATTGCTCCAAACAAACGGTCACTCTTGAAAAGCAGGTCAGTCAGCGCTTTTTTAGAAGTCTGATCAGTAGAGCAGCACTTGAGTCACAGAAGACTGTGAAAAACAACTGCAGACAGACATCGACAGCTTAGACAGTAGGGGTCCTGTATCCAGCGAAGTGGTACACACATCAAAGACCGTGGACTAGTTGATCAGCTAGTTCCACATGTACAGGATACACCTGTTCACCATCCAGACCCTGGCACAAGAGCTTCACCCATTATGTGAGCATCTAAGACACCAAAGCCTCAGCCGAAAGAGGCCGCAGAGCTGATCCAGCTTCAGTATACATAGATCTTGCAATGGGTTCAGCTTTTCTGTCTGTTGGATTCTTGAAGGAGATTCCGCAACCAGGATCACAGCTGCCTTATTCAGAAGCGATAAACAGGGGGGTCCATAACCGGGGGAGATGTCCACTTCTTCAGAAACCCCTCCTCAAAAAAGTAGCGCACAGAAAAGCGCTTGGGGCAAGACAAAAAGCCAGAGAAAAACCCTTCTATTCCTTATAAATGAAGTCATCAAAAAAGGCATGATAAGGAAACACTTCAGTCAAGCGCTTCGACTTATGCATACCAAAGGGAACCGGAGCCTCCGACAGAGTACCCCCAGAATCCTCCAGTTTGAAAGTTTTACATACAGACTTAAGAGCAGAAACAAATTCTATCTCCTGTGAAAAAGGATTGGCCAGAAATTACAGCATCCACTGAGGCCGAAGGAATGTCATCCTCCCCAGAAGGGCCAGAGAGTGATGGGGAAGGCAGAGAGGGGTGGTTGAGCTTCTTACCCTGCCTGTGGCCCAACGCCTGTTCCACACACAAAACAAAACCCTCCAGAATGGAAGCGAGTGCGTCCATAGGGACAGGTGGACCCGAAAGCCCTGGGGAAAAATCCGCCAGGCCCAAGAAAGGTGCCAAAAGGGTGACATGAAGTACAGACAAACCCCCACAGCAGACTCAACAGCAGCCCCCCACATACAATGCAGCCAGGGGTCGTGTCACCATATTGTCAGATCTGTTTGGCCGGTCTCGATGCCGATTGGCTGGGAAGCCGGCTTCCCGGGCCAATCAGCATCGTGCCGGCAAAACAGAATGGAGTTGGCTTCTCGTGCAATCAAGAAGCCGGGTGGTGGGTAATGACACGCCACCTGGCCTCGATTGCCCAGGAAGCCTCTTCTATGCTAACGGAAGTACCGGTATCGATACTCGGGATCGGTGAGTACCGAAATATAAATATCGGTACTCGTAACTGAAAAACCGGTATCGGTGCATCAGTAAAATTAACCAGTATTAGATATTATCATGTTGAAAAGACCAGATCGTGTTGCACATGACAGAAGGGAGGCTCAGACTGTGTAATGGCCAGTACCTTAAGCTGGTTATTGAAGACATCGATCTCTTGAAGTTTTGCCCGGGTTTCCTTCTCCACTTCATCAAGCTGGTCTCTGAGTTGCTGACGGCCCATTTCCTTTGCATCCAAAGCTCTTCTTATAGATAGGAGGGAATCTCCTGGGAACAGGTTAGAACATTCACAATTATTGAAGGACTTAATGTCACACTCCACAGACGTACGAATATAAATATATTGTTTCATACAGGCCAAATGACAAGTTCTCGCTTCACTGAATGCAAGGCGGGCACTTTTGTTGGCACATTTGGGCAAGGCCATCACTTTATAGTCCAGCAAACACCTTTTTTGATAAGTTTAGTTTTTGATGCAATGCGTAAGAATTAGAACCCCTGCTGGGTTTTTCACAACTATCCATTGTAACTGTCTGCAACCCTCTTGCAGATAATGAAACGATTGTGACCAAGACGGTAAGTGAAATCTCTCCAACAAACACCCCAGAGGGCAGTAAAACCCAACCTCATCAACATCGAAGAATGAACATCTATGTATGTCTGTGAAGGTTCTCATTGATCCAGGTCATGGTATATCTGTAAAAAATAAAGTCAAGGTAACTGGACTTGCTGTATTTTTCTTGAAGACGTTTCACTGGTTATCCAACCAGCTTTCTCAATTCAGAATGACTCGTACAAACATTATCTGGCCATAAATATGGTGAATGTCGCTCCAATCCACATGAATAGAGGTGGGGGGTGAGACATCTATTGTCTGCCACATACAATGCTTTTTTACCACCTCTCTGGGCAGGTTATTAACACCTCCTAGTTCCAATTATACAAATGCAATCAACACCTGGTTGTAACTAACAGATTATGTGGATTGGAGCAACATTCACCATATTTATTCACAGATAATTTTTGTACAAGTCATTCTGAATTGAGAAAGCTGGTCGGATCTCCAGTGAAATGTCTTCAAGAAAAATACAGCAAGTCCAGTTGCCTTGACTTATTTTTTACAGATATCGAACATATATGTAGAATTTCTAACACGAAGGATGGTTTTATGTAACTAGAAAAAGGTGGTTTCACAACATTCACACCTCCCATCTTGTTCATGGACAAATCAATATCTGCCTTGACACATTCTATTGTGATTGCATTAAAGGTAAGCGTGCTACCTGGTGGATTTGATGCCTGGGGTATCTTCCCAACACTCATCAGATTTAAAGAAGCAGCTTGGATATGTTACAAAACCTCTTCAACATTAAAGAGCAAGTCCAGTTGAATGTGACCAACTACTACGAGCTGGAAAAGGAGAACCTGCACAGACAACCTGACAAGGATTCTAGTCCTTCTTCACTCCATCTAAAACTAAAAAAAATAATAATGCTCCAATACTCTTCCTGTATCAGGAAGCCTGGCACCGCGTCATTACACTCTGCCCGGTTTCCTGATTGGCCGGGAAGCGGCTCCATGCTCTCTTGTCACTTGTGATGAGAGAGCATGGAGCCGACTTCCCGGCCAATCAGGAAGTCGTACAGCATGTAATGACGCGGTGCCCGGCTTCCTGATCGGTCGGGATGCTGGCCAATCAGGAAGCCGGGCGCCGTGTAATGACGCAGCTCCTGGCATTCTGATTGGCCGGGAAGCTGGCTTCATGCTCCCTCGTCATCTCATGATGAGGGAGCATGGAGCCATCTGGCCGGCCAATCAGAAAGCAGGGCGTTGCGTCATTAAACGGCACCCGGCTTCCTGATTGGCCGGCCAGACGGCTCCGGCTGGGTACCGGAGGAAGGCTGCGTTCTGGCTGGAGAGGCCCCGGGGGTGACAGGCTGGACATACCAAGGCAAGAGGGGGCTTTCTTGTTAATCGAGAAGCCGGTGGCGAGTCATTACACGCCACCTGGCTTCCTGAATGGGACTTCCGTTACTCGGTAATTGGTATCGGCGAGTACCAAAAAAAAAATTATCGGTACTTGTACCGGTATCGGTGCATCCCTAGTTGTCAGCGAAGAAGTCCATGAAGGAAAGTGAACATTTTTGACAGGTGGATGCGCAAAAAAAAGACTTCGTGCTGCAAACACATAAAATGTATTTTAATCTTCAAACATCTGTACCCGAGGTGAAGACTTACTTTGCAAACTGTTCTGCTGAACCTGTTTTAATTGGTCATTTAGGAACTGTTTCTCGGGAATCAATTTTCCAAGCAGCTGCTGAGACTCCTGTGGAAAAAATGCAGAAAATAATTCTCAGTATTTGCAACTTTTTACACAGCTTCTTGTGTTTATTTACAGAAATGTCAACACTAAAAAGCACATCTGTTCACAAGTTGAACGATTCTGTTTCCATGCTTTGCTGAAAGTTTGCTCTAAGAGAACGCGTAACATAAAAAGTACTGGTGAGAAATGTTCTTCAGTTAATGCATCCACTTTGCTTCTGTAATGCAGCTCACATGACCAAAGGTCAGGTTCTGGTCATGTGATCATTATCAAAGAAGCTTGGATCCTCAAGATGATGCACACATAACATTAATAGGTTTTGAGAAGTGGTTTAACCCTTTCTCTGCCAAGGGCTTTTCGTTTTTTGCACAAGTTATAATCCACATTTTATTCCTGAAAGTTACTTCAAACCCCCAAACATTATTTTCTGAAAGCCAAGACCCTGTAGAATAAAATGGTGGCCGTTGCAAATTTTTACATTGCACGATATTAATGCAACTCTTTATCAAACTAAGAAATGTAGTTAAAAATGCACTTAAGGTAATTTTAGTGCCCCAAAACACAATACAATACCAATGTTTTGTTAAATATAAAAGATGAGGTTATAACGAGTAAATAGATACCCAACATGCTCAGGTTAAAAATTGTGTGTGTGTCCATTAAACGGTGACAAAATTCAGTACCCCAAACAGTGCATAGATGACGCTTTAAAAGCCCCCACATGATATTGGTTTAGGAATACACGTAAATATTGGCACCAGAATTATTGCTGTCACTCTGGCGTGCGCGGCTATTTATGTGTAGTGAGACTATCATTTTCGTACGTAGGCGCACCCGACGCATGTTTATGTGAATTATTTTTTTTTAAACTAAAGACCCCTAGAATCAATCACCTTTCCACTCTAAATAAGCTATTGAAGTGCAGATCCCCCTTCAACAGCTTATTGCTGGGCTTCAGGAGCCGAGCAATGGCAGCTCAGGGACCGGAATTGATGTATTGTGCATAGTTCCCGGTCCCATAGAACATGGAGTAGATTGGTGAACGGAGGTTCGCTCCTCTCCTCCTCAGCTTCCCGCCGGCACCCAACATGCTGGTAAGCCGCCAGAATCGCTTTAAATTTTAAATGGGCCCTGCTTAAATGGGCCCACTGCCACCGTCGTATGATATACGTCAGTGGCAGCGAAAGGGTTAAAGGAGAAACGTGGGGAGTGTAAAATATACACTCCCTGCAGCTTGGAGCTGGCATGGGACACTGCAGCTGTCCCACCCCAAAGCTATACCAAGAGATGAGCGATCATGTAACCGCTGATCACCCAGCTTTCTCATCTGTTCTCCCTGCAGAGAGCAATAACTGTTGGTCACTGCTCCATGCAGGGATTCCCCCTTCGCCTCGCTGTTCCTCCACCGTTCATTGGAGAGAGACAGGGAGGGTTGGCGGGGTCGGAAGGCAGAGCCGACTGTTGCTTTAGAGAGGCAGAGCCAGCCATTTTGTTAGGATCTGCATTGGGACTCTGCATGGTAGGCAGGTTGAAGGCACTAGCCCACTATCTGGTGACCAAGTCACAGGAGTACATGTACTTCTGTGAACCAAAAGAGAAAAAAGAAATTGACTTTTACCCTCTTCAACTAAAAATCCCATCGACATGCAGCTCTGCATGCTGTGCGGATACAAAATCCTTTTACATTCATTAGTTAAACACATTTTTCTAACTTGCAATTTCTTATTTTGCGCTTCCTTGTTTGCTTTGGCAAAAATGAGGTAGTAATGCCCAAGCATTGCACCCTGCGAAGGTTACATCAGCAGAGCATTGTGGGAAATCTCATGAGACCTCAGGGAAAGGCATTTCCCTCCCTTGAGATGATGTGCATGGCCACATGCCCTAGTCATATGTGCCAGAGGTCCAGGAAGTAAAGTGAGATATAGTAACCAGTCATTAGCAAAAATGGTCACTGTGAGAAGACTGGGGAAGAAAAGAGAAATAAGGTATGTAAAGAATAAAGCTGGCAATTATCTAGAAGTATGTGTTTGCAGATTGTCATTACTAAACATATTTAAAGAGGTCTCCGTTCTTATTTTAAACATATATGGATACAGTTCCTCTTTAATAACCCTACTTCATGTAAATATGTAGGACCAATTTAATTGCAACTTAATTTTATTGTATAAGATGTCTGAAAATAAAGCCGTATAGTCACCTGAAGCTGCTGCTGTAAGTGTGTGATTTCAGCAATCCTCAGCTCTCTGGACTTATTTGTACTTTCTATTTCCTGTCGCTGTGTGGTCAATCGATATCGAATGTCTTGAAGTTTTCCTTCGAGCTGATGCTTTTTATCATTCTTCACAACGAATGGGGAAGAAACAAAACACAATCATCTATTCTGCTCCTTTGATCTCACTCCTCTTGAGATTACAAGTTATGCAACCTTACCAAAGCTTCCAGCTCAAACTCCAAAGTCTTCTTTTTGGCCTTCAGCATAACAATGTCTTCCTGCTCCTTGTTTCTCTGGTTCAGGAGCTCCTGACGCCGATTCCGCTCCCACTCCAGCTGTCTCTGACGCTCAAGTTCTCGCTTTGCAGCCTGTTACAAAAATTAATAGTGAAGTTGTAATGCATGCAGGCTGCGCTACTGTGTACAGAGTATGGATAGTACACCGGCACAGGCAGAAGGCTTCACCCCAAAAGTAACTACCGCTGGGTGCCAGATTCACCTGGGAAAATGGAATTACCATTTAAATGCACAGCCAGCTGGGATTTGAATAACTCCAAGGAGAAAACTATCAATCCATAATATGGAAGGTGAGATCGATTCAAAGTCGAATGCCCTTATCTGTAATGGGTACTTAATGCATTTTGCTCAAAATACCATTTTCGGCTAATATGTTTCAGCAGCCGAAGCTTCGGTGCATCCCTACACACAAGGCTGGCTCCATAGGACCCTGCAAAGGAAAGAAGCGACCCTAAAAAAGGCCTTCAGGGCGAGCGCGCCCAAGGGACCAGCAGATTGTGCAGGAAGCTAAAAATCTTTAAAAAGGAACAACATCCACTGTAAGTGATTTAATCAGCATTTGACAAAAACCTTTTTGACTTTAATATCACTTTAAGTGACCCTTGGCTTCTATTTTTGTGCTGTTCCTGACGCTGTTTCTTAAAAAGCCTCTGCACATGTATATACAACAATTCCATGTGCGTCTTACCAAAACTTTTGAATAGGGGAAAAAAAAGTTACACAGATGGTCACAAAGAGGCCACTGCTAACCGGCAGAGGGTATCTTCCAGTCAGATACTACGCAAGGAAGACACAAAACCAATATTGCCTATGGCAACACGTTACTTCTTGCTGCGGGTCCCACCAAATGGTGGTTCCCATCCCATCACACAACTTCACATAAAGCAGAAAGTCCTAAATCATAGGTTCATATACAAGCTACCAGAGGTTCTTACTGAATTGTTTTGCATGGTGAGTGCAAATCTATCCTTAGTAGGTGAGAAGACAAAGCCTTGACCCCATTACTAAAGCCATAACATTCTCCTAAGTTTCACGAGTGCATGTGTTTTATTTATTAAGCTTGCTGGAGATAAAACATTATTACACAATGAGGAGCTACCTCTCTCCGCTCTATTTCTTTCCTCCGCTCTTCTTCTCGTTGACGTTCCAGCTCTCGCTGCTTCTCCAGCTGTTTCTCCAGCTCTTGTTGGCGCTTTCTCTCATGTTCCTGCCTTTCCCGTTCCTTCCTCTCCTGTTCAGCCCGTTCCAGCTGAGCAAGGCGCTCCTGCTCTTTCCGCTGCAGCTCCAACAAAGCCTGCCTCCTTTTCTCCAATTCTAGGTTACCGCGTTCAAAGTTCTCCCGCTTCTTATCTTCAAAGGTCACTGCTAGAAAAGAAAGAGCAAGAAGGGACATGATTGAAACCTTTAAAATACACTGAGGACAGCAGCAAATCCATTATAATACTGAGAACACAGAGGCATGACCGCCAACAAACAGGGGGGCAAAAGTTCAAAATTAATCTGGAAAATAATGATTTTACTTAAAGTGACACTAAACTCAGGAGTTAAATCTTAAAAATACATTCAAGTCACTTAACTATGAACAAAAATATATCTTATTTGTGTATCACTCGGCTGTAGATCCTCAAATCATCTTTGAATTGGTGGTGACACAGTCCTTCCTTCTGGAGGGTGGTTACTTTTGTTCCCCAAGGTCCCTGTGTGTGTTGTAAAGTAGCCATTGGTCCAAGCCCGCTCCTGTGATGGACTACAGTTTCATGTTTAGTTAGCTAATTTGTATTGAAATACAATCTATCACGGGAGTGAGCTTGGAGGAGTGGTGGCTACGTTACAACACACACACAGGGACCACAGGGAACAAAAGTAACCACCCTCCAGAAGGAAGGACAGTGTCAGCATCAATTCAGAGATTATTTGTGGATCTACAGCCGAGTGATACACAAATAAGGTACATATTTGTTAATAGTTAAAGGAGAACTATGGGGTTAGGGCTTTTCCCCATAGTTCTCCTTAGGGTAACGGGAAGACACAAACTAGCGTCCTCCCGTCACCCTAAGCTCTGTATGCCGCGAGCTACAACTCGCGGTATACTGAGACGCCGCAGCTGAAGCGGATACCGACAATTATGTCTGGATCCATCCAGCTGTGTGAGTGACAGCTGGCTCTGCCTATCTAGAGGCAGAGCCAGCTGTACCCGCCCCCTCTCCTGTCCGTTCCGCCAGTCAGCGCTGGCGGAGCGGGGAGGGGGGAATCCAGCCCCTTCCCTGTCACGGCAGAGAGCCGTGACATGATCGAGAAGTGAGCGAACGCTGGTAGGTGTTCGCTCACTTCCCGATCCACTGAGCCGACCTGTGACAGTCTCATTGTCACAGGTCGGCTAGAACTATGAGGTGAGTGGAAAGCACTCGCCTCATAGTTCTCCTTTAAGTGACTTAAATGCATTTTTAAGATTTAACTCCCGAGTTTAGTGTCACTTTAAAGAGTAGTGAACGCTTGGAAAAGAACTCCAGCAGACATATGTCAGACTTGATGAACCATTTGGTCTTCTGCCATTATTCTTCTGTGTTTCGATGTCACTTGCTTCCCAATTTAGAAAGCAAATCCCAAGACTTCCAGTAAATAGAAAGTGCAGATTGATCAAGCAAACTTGTCAGCCATTACAAACCTAAACTCTTTTACAGGACCAGGAACCACAAGGTACCTGTTACCTTCAACCAGAAAACCCTCCTTTGTGTGGTCATATGATTTACAGTGGTACCTCGGTTCACGAACGTCTTCTGTTCGCGAACAGGAAGTTCGTAAACATTTTGCCTCTGTTCACGAACTCTGCATCGGGTGACAATTACAACCTCGGCCATCTTCCCCGCTCTGACACATGGTCGTGGCTTCCTCTAATCGAGATCGTAGACAGACCTGTGCACACTTGCTGTGAAGCTTTTTTGTGTGCTTTTCTTGGAGAATAAACCACCCCAACACAACTGAAACGAACAGAGTTTTGAATCTGATGAACAATAACGTGGTCTCTCATTTCCGGAGGGTTATGACGAGCACCATTTTCACCAAAATTGACCCTGCAGCTAAGAGACAAAGAAGAGAGGAAACCCCAATGTCCTTATGGAGGGGGACTCTCCCTCCAAAACGATCACCTCTTCCCCACCCACCTTCCTGTCCTCCACACCAGAAGTCGCCCCAAGAAAGGTTAGGGTTCACTCTCTTCATACTATACTTTGTTTCATATTTTTGTGGTTAAAATTTATTTTTATTTTTTACATATGGTTCACAACAGATTAACCGTATTCACATCGAACCCTATGGGAAAATGTCATTCTGTTCGCGACCAAAATCTGTTCGCGGCCACGTTCGTAGGGGTCGGAACAGATTAACCTTATTTACATTGAACTTTATGGGGAAATTTGATTCGGTTCGCGACCAGAATCGTGGAACCAATTAAGTTCGTGTACAGAGGTACCACTGTAGTTTCATTTTGTTATTAGGAACCTGGCTCAACCCATCTAACCCTAAAGCTGCATAATAAAGCAACCGGGGTGCCTAAACTAAAAAGAAAAATCGACAAGCATACACCTGGAGCTTCCCGTTATGCGCCTACAGTGATGGATAAAGTAAAGTATTGTTCTCTTTTTGCTTTAACGGCTAATGAATGGCTCTTAAGGGAATGGGAGGTGGCAGCTGAACAGCATCGGAGCGTTTTTGTCATGTGTTTCCATGCGTGTTTTTCTGCATTTGTTCATTATCAATGAGCTACAATCTGCTCACAAAAAGACGCTTTTTGCCGTGTGCGTATAAAACGCGCAAAAACGTGCACAAAAATGCTGCCGCCTAGGTGTGAACCAGGCTTGACACCATTAATGTAGGTGCTATGTTTTTCGAGTAAAAACAAACTATTAGGCCTCATTCACACGAGAAAAAGCCGGCACATACAGCTCCGTGCTGCGTGCACGGCCGTAACGGCCGCAGCTGTACGCCGCCCTACACTCACCCAACCTGCACGTCTGTGCGGGTGTCCGTGCTCGTACTCTGACAGGATGGATCCTGTCTTCGTCCAGAGCCGGGACACATGCACCCGTATGGACCTGCACTTGGAGTGAGCGTAGGGTGGGGTATGGCCGCAAACTCCCATAGAGCGTATCAGGAGCTGTCCGATACGGCCGTGCACACAGCACAGAGCTGTACGTGCCGGCTCTTTCTTGTCTGAATGAGGCCTTAAGTTTGTGGTCATCAAGGCATACAAAGGCAAAATAATGTCAAATTACTTAATATACTATTTACCAGACAATTTCTTGTCTGCAGGTTGAGGCTCCTCTTCTGCTGGTTCTTCTGGTAAACGCTGATCAACTGACACAGAGCTCATTATGGAAATGCCACTGCCAGACCGAACTCTCCTGTAAAATATGAGAATATCCTATAACAAGAAAAAATGCTTACATAAATGGTACGAGAAACTCCACCCCAAGCCTGATAAAAAGGGGCATTTGCAGAAAAGTGGCATCTGCAATGGCTCAGGACAGTGCTTGATCCTGGTGACCAATTTTTGAGGCACTGAATATTTTATGGTGGAAATGGACTTAATCTCATATTACATTATTAGGGCTATACATTAGGTATATGAGGTTCTGTCACCAATGTAAAAAAAATGCAGGAAAAAGCACCGAAAAATTGAGCATTTTAAAATGTTTTTTATTTCCATAAAATTGCCAATTACTTGCAATGTGCCTTTGAACCCTGCTAGAAAAAGATTTAATCCCCTAACACAGCCCCCTTGTCTTCTGTGATTGTATCATTACTGCTGGCCCAGCTCTTCCACCACTCCCCTCCCAATGTAGCTGCCAGGGGTGAAGAATAATACTATAGAGTGTCAGAGTGACAGCTCTAAGGCCTCTTGTCACATGGGGCGTACACACCTGCAAACGGGACGATTCCGGGAGGGACAGGTGGTGTGTGTGTGTGATTGCGCGCAGCAGCCTGTTCTTCCCTATGGGGGGACGCGGATGTAAGCCATCACCCGTGCGGGTACGAGTGTCCGTACTTGGACGCAGACAGGATGAATCCTGTCTGCGTCCAAGTTCGGACACCCATATACTGAAATACCGGTATTGGTGCATCCATAATTACTATAATTCTTATATACATCCTAAACTCAGTACACACACACACACACACACACACACACACACACACACACTCTAAACCTAAATACAACACAATTTACAGATAACCAAAGAAACAAAAAAAATTCAGTATGTACATAAAAACAATCCAAAAATGTACATCAAATATATAAACAAACCAATATTATTAAATAAACTGAAGTTTTTTCAATCTACAGTTTGAGAGCATTCCTCACCTGAACGATGGGGGCACATAGTCTGGGGGCAGCACTGGAGGGAGTGGCTGACCAGACATTGCCATGTCTATTAAGTGCATAGCCAAGATGAACTCTTCTGCTGTTAACTTCCCATCTTGATCAATGTCTGAAAGATTCCTGGGATGCAATAGACAAAAATATGCTATAAGCTAAAATGGAGTCCACAAAGAGACCTAACCTTGACGTTTCACTTTTTTTTTTGGTAGATGCTGGAGAATTAAAGCGTAACTGAATCCATCAATATAACATACTGCAGTGTACCAGTCCTTAGATACACTGTTTTGTTTTTTTTTCCAGGCTTTTTTGGCCTTGATTTTTACCTGGTGATCCTGTTCTTAACACTTTCTGTCCTAGGGTGGCAATGCTTACTGCACTGTATCTATGGATAATCAGCGTTAACGCCCTAGTGAGGGACTACAGAAACCTTCTCTTCTCCATAACAAGGTGAAGGGGTTATGTAGTACTCAACGATAGCTGGGGGCAATGTAACTGATCACAGTGCAGCACAGGCAAAGATAACAATAGGTTAGAAACCGACAAGTATTCTTTGCACTTAACATCTAACAAAATGCTGTCAACGGTACAGTTAACAGACCACAAATGATTGAGAAGTTTGGTGTTAGGGTTTATATGCCCTTTAAATATCCTAATAGTTTCTCGTCTCTCGTCAGGGACTCTGCTGGTGAGATCTCTGCACTGAGTTCCCGGGTCTACACACTTGATGTGGCCATTATAAGGGACTCCAACCCTACCTGCCGTATTGTTATTGCTCTGAAAAATGCAACAGGAGAAGCTGAAACACGAAAAGGGGCATGAATTACAAAAACTTCCAGATGGAATCAAACCGATTTAGGAGAGAGAGCGAGAGAGCACAAGAGAGAGAGCGAGAGCGCACAAGAGAGAGAGAGAGAGAGCGAGAGCGCACGAGAGAGAGAGAGAGAGCGAGAGCGCACAAGAGAGAGAGAGAGCGCACAAGAGAAAGAGCGAGCGCAAGAGAGAGAGAGCGAGCGCGAGAGAGAGAGCGCGCGCAAGAGAGAGAGAGCGCGCGCAAGAGAGAGAGAGCGCGCGCAAGAGAGAGAGAGCGCGCGCAAGAGAGAGAGAGCGCGCGCAAGAGAGAGAGAGCGCGCGCAAGAGAGAGAGAGCGCGCGCAAGAGAGAGAGAGCGCGCGCAAGAGAGAGAGAGCGCGCGCAAGAGAGAGAGAGCGCGCGCAAGAGAGAGAGAGCGCGCGCAAGAGAGAGAGAGCGCGCGCAAGAGAGAGAGAGCGCGCGCAAGAGAGAGAGAGCGCGCGCAAGAGAGAGAGAGCGCGCGCAAGAGAGAGAGAGCGCGCGCAAGAGAGAGAGAGCGCGCGCAAGAGAGAGAGAGCGCGCGCAAGAGAGAGAGAGCGCGCGCAAGAGAGAGAGAGCGCGCGCAAGAGAGAGAGAGCGCGCGCAAGAGAGAGAGAGCGCGCGCAAGAGAGAGAGAGCGCGCGCAAGAGAGAGAGAGCGCGCGCAAGAGAGAGAGAGCGCGCGCAAGAGAGAGAGAGCGCGCGCAAGAGAGAGAGAGCGCGCGCAAGAGAGAGAGAGCGCGCGCAAGAGAGAGAGAGCGCGCGCAAGAGAGAGAGAGCGCGCGCAAGAGAGAGAGAGCGCGCGCAAGAGAGAGAGAGCGCGCGCAAGAGAGAGAGAGCGCGCGCAAGAGAGAGAGAGCGCGCGCAAGAGAGAGAGAGCGCGCGCAAGAGAGAGAGAGCGCGCGCAAGAGAGAGAGAGCGCGCGCAAGAGAGAGAGAGCGCGCGCAAGAGAGAGAGAGCGCGCGCAAGAGAGAGAGAGCGCGCGCAAGAGAGAGAGAGCGCGCGCAAGAGAGAGAGAGCGCGCGCAAGAGAGAGAGAGCGCGCGCAAGAGAGAGAGAGCGCGCGCAAGAGAGAGAGAGCGCGCGCAAGAGAGAGAGAGCGCGCGCAAGAGAGAGAGAGCGCGCGCAAGAGAGAGAGAGCGCGCGCAAGAGAGAGAGAGCGCGCGCAAGAGAGAGAGAGCGCGCGCAAGAGAGAGAGAGCGCGCGCAAGAGAGAGAGAGCGCGCGCAAGAGAGAGAGAGCGCGCGCAAGAGAGAGAGAGCGCGCGCAAGAGAGAGAGAGCGCAAGAGAGAGAGAGCGAGAGAGAGAGAGCAAGAGAGAGAGAGCAAGAGAGAGAGCGCGCGCAAGAGAGAGAGAGCGCAAGAGAGAGAGAGAGAGAGAGAGAGAGAGAGAGAGCGCGCGCAAGAGAGAGAGAGCGCAAGAGAGAGAGAGAGAGAGAGAGAGAGAGAGAGAGAGAGAGAGAGGAGAGAGAGGCGAGAGAGAGAGAGAGGCGAGAGAGAGAGAGGCGAGAGAGATCATAGTTGAATGTACAAGACCTAGGAAGCCAGGGGCAGCTCCAGCCCACAAAGCACCTCCTTTAACTGAAATATTGCTTTTATTAGGACTGACAGTATTAAAAAGCAAGGAGATATATTGACAGAATCAATCTAAAACTGAAATATGGGAAATTTTTAAAAAATGCATTTGTTTCAACTTCTGCACTCTAGGCAAAATGGTAAACTTATGGAGAAAACAAAATAAAAAAAGAGTTCCAATAAGATTACAAACCCAAAACTTAATGTAAAATCAAAGCATCAGTGACCTCTAAAATAACTACTATGAGACCTCCTTACTACATCTACAGATCTGTTAGTAGCAACTAGAAACAGATTTGAATAAAACAAGGATGTCGGGATTACACATTTATTGTATTAATCTCTTTAGTTCTTCATTACTTTCAATATTCTTACCAAATTGTCGCCAGCTGGGCTTGTGGCAAACTAGATTGCATAAGAATAGTTCTAGCTTGGGGACCTGAAATAAGTAATTGAAAAACATCAGACAGATCAAACCCTAAACAGCAAGTAGGGCAGTTTACACCATGCAAACACAGACATACATATATACATACAGTATAACCACCAATTCCCAAAAAGTTGGGACGTTGTGTAAAATCTACATAAAAACAGAATGCAATGATTTGCAAATCTCATAAAGCCATATTCACAATAGAAAATAGAAAACATATCACATTTTTAAATGGAGAAAATGAAATTGATGGCAACAAGTCTAACAAGAAAAATAAATCAATAAAAAGGACACAGGGCCGTGTTTATTAAGTTGAACCATCTCCTCTTCTTTTAATAACACTCTGCAAACATCTGGGAACTGAGGAGACCAGTTGCTGGAGTTTTGGGAGAGGAATGTTGTCCCATTCTTGGCCTGACTATAGGATTCTAACTGCTTAACAGTCCTGGCTATTTATATTTTTAATTTCCAGATGCACCAAATATTTTCAATTGGTGAAAGGTCTGGACTGCAGGCAGGCCAGTTAAGCACCCGGACTCTTCTACTATGAAGCCATGCTGTTGTCATAGATGTAGTATGCGGTTTAGCATTTTTCTGCTGCAATAAGCATGGCCTTCCCTGAAAAAGACGTTGTCTGGATGGGAGCATATGCTGCTCTAAAACCTGGATATATCTTTCAGCATTGATGGTGACTTTCATGTGATGTGCAAGCTGACCATTCCATGCACACTAATGGACCTCCATACCATCAGAGATGCAGGTTTTTGAACTGAGCACTGTATAACAAGCCGGAAAGTCCCTCTCTTCTTTAGTCTGGAGGACACAGCACCCATGGTTACTAAAAAGAATGTCAAATTTCAGTTCATCTGACCACAGAACAATTTTTCACTTTGGAACAGACCATTTTATTGAGCTTTGGCCCAGAGAAGATGGTGGCATTTCTGGATCATGTTCAGATATGGCTTCTTCTTGCATGATAGAGCTTTAACTTGCATTTTTGGATGGGACGGCGAACTGTGCTTACAGTGATTTCTGGAAGTATTCCTGAGCCCATGAAGTGATGTCCATCACAGAGTCATGGCTGTTTTTAATGCAGTGCCGTCTGAGGGCCCAAAGATCACAGGCATCCAATATTGCGTTTCGGCCTTGTCTCTTGCGCACATAGATTTCTCCTGATTCTCTGAATCTTGATATTATGTACTGTAGAGGATGATATAAAGTCTTTGCAATTTTACGTTGAGGAACTTTATTCTAAAATTGTTCAACAATTTTTAGATGCAGCTTTTCACAGACTGGTGAACCTCTTCCCATCTTTACTTCCGAGACATTCTGACTCTCAAAGATGCTCATTTTATTCCCAATCAGGCTAGTGACCTGTTGCCAAATAACCTAATTAAATGCAAAATGTTCTTCCAGCTCTTCCTTGTTAGTACCATTTTGCCAGCTTTTTGTTGCCCTGTCCAAACGCTTTTGAGACGTGTTGCTGCCATCAATTTCAATATCACCTTCATTTTTCTTAAAATTGTACTTTTTTGATAACATTTGATAGGTTTTCTGCTTTCTATTGTGAATAAAATATGGGCTTATGAGATTAGCAAATCATTGCATTCTGTTATGTAAATGTTACACAGCGTTCCAACTTTTTTGGAATTGGGGTTGTACATACATAGAGAGAAAAATAGATGGACAGAGTAGATTGAGTTTAACAAGTTTATAATGCTTTGTTTTCTTAGTGTACTACAGAACCTAAAAAAAACAGTCGTGTGAAAAAGAAAGTACACGCTCTTTGAATTCTATGGTTTTACATATCAAGACATAATAGATCATTTAGGTAAATACAACCTCAGATGAACATCACCACATGACATATTACGGGTCATTATTTTATAAACAAAGCCAAAATGTGAAAAATTGTAGCCATACTGTAGCCATATGAATTAAGAGGCTTAAGCTGGCAATACAAAAGTTCTATTTTATTTTTTTCACTCAACCCGCGTGCCGAACAAAAAAAAATAATAAAATAAAACAGATTCCTCAATCAGCGCTTACGAGCGTTGATTGAGGAATTCCCTGCTGACAGTACCCTATAACAGAAGATTTTCTGACCAGCTCCTTCGATCAGCTGATGGAGGAATGCCAGCCGAAATAGTGCCAACAGTGGCATCCACTGTGCGAATTTCGTCCAGTTCCTGAAGAACTGTCTGAAATCCACATAATGTATAGCCAGCTTTAGTAGCAGCCAGGTGATGCTTATCAAATGCCCTTGATTAATTGATCAGCAGCAGGTGTAACCATCTTTATAAAAGCCAGAGGTTTTTTTTTTAGCAGTTTGCTGGTCTGGAGCATACAGGGGTGTGCCAAAGAGGCAGGACATCAGCAATGATGTTAGAGAAAGGATTGTTGCTGCCCATCAATCTAGGAAGGGTTATAAGGCCATTTCCAAACAATTTAAAGCCCATCATTCTACAGGGGAGGAAGATTATTCACAAGTGGGAAAACATTCAAGACAGTTGCCATTCTTCCCAGGAGAAGACGTCCCAGCAAATTCACCCCAATTTTAGACCGTGTAATGCTCAGAGAAATTGCAAAAAACCCAAGAGCTACATCTTGAGACTCTGCAGGCCTCAGTTAGCATGTTAAATGTTTATGGTCATGTCAGTACAATTAGAAAAAGACTAAACAAGTATGGTTTGTTTGGAAGGGTTGCCAGGAGAAAGCCTCTTCTCTCTAAAAAGTACACGGCAGCACGGCTTAGGTTTGCAAAGTCGCATTTGAACACACCACAAGACTTCTGGAACAATGGGGGGAATTTATCAAATCAATTGCGAGTGTTTGAACTTGCACGGAATATACTTGCACCAGATTTGTGATGCTAGTGTAATGTTGTTGATAAATGAGGTTTAATAGACTCCAGGAAAGAAGACTTCTAACTCCAGGCAAAAAGCTTAACTGTCCCTTCTTGAAGAAGTAGTCATGGGGACTTCTTAAGTTGTGATTGTTTTCTTAGGTGATGCTCCAGTTTCAGACAGCCCAGAACAAGTGTAGATGAAAACGGGTGCAAAAAAACATGCAAATGAAAAAGTAATGCAAGCTCTGAAGAAAACAAGTGCAAAACACGTGCAGTTGGAAAAGTAGTGCAAGCTCAGGTCAAAACAGGGGCACATGTTGAAAAAAGATTTGCACATAAAAAAAAATGAGAGGCTAAAACCGTCGCAATTGCTTTGATAAATTCCCCCCAATGTCTTTTGGACAGATGAGAAAAATAAAAAGTCGAGATGTTTGGCCATAATGCACAGCGCCATGGTTTGGTGAAAACCAAACACATCATATAAGCACAAACCCCTCATACCAACTGTCAAGCATTGTGGTGGAGGGGTGATGGTTTTGGGCTTGTTTCGCAGCAACAAGTTCTGGGCACCTTGCCTTGTCACTTAGTCGACCACGAACTCCTCTGTCTACCAAAATATTCTGGAATCAAAAGTGGGGTCATCTCTGAAAGCCAAAGCTTGGCCTAAATTGGGTCATGCAACAGGGCAGTGATCCTAAGCACACCAACCAATTTACAACAGAATAGCTGAAAAAGAAAAGAAATCGAGGTGTTGCAAAAAGTCCAGACCCCAACCCAACTGAAATGCTGTGGCGGGACCTTAAAAGGACACTAAACTCAGGAGTTAAATCCTAAAAATTATTAACAGAAAGTTAATTTTTTTTTGGGGAAAAAAAAAAAAAAAAAAAAAAAAAAACAAAAAAAAAAAAAAATCACACAGCTGTAGATCCTCAAATCTTCTCTGAATTGGTGCTGACACTGTCCTCCCTTCTGGAGGGTGGCTACTTTTGTTCCCCATTGCCTCTGTGTGTGTGTTGTAAAGTAGCCGCCACTCCAAGCTCGTTCCCGGAATAGACTATAATCTCTAGGGTTGTACTGATAACCGGTTTTTCGGTAACGAGTACCAATATATATCTTTTGGTACTCGCCGATGCAGAGTACCAATACCGATGCTTCCGGTAGCATGGAGCTGGCTTCCTGGGAAATCATAAAGCCAGGCAGCATGTCAGTCCCTGTGCCCAGCCTCTTGATTGGCCAGGAAGCCACCTCCATGCAGTTTGGCCCGCTCAATGCTAATTGGCCAGGTAGCTGGCTTCCTGGCCAATCAGGAAGCCGGGGAGCGAGTTATTAACCGCTGCCCGGCTTCCTGATTCGCCGGGAAGCCAGCTCCATGTTAGACGCGGCACTGCCGGTCAGAGGAAATCTCCCTGTGACCGGAAGTTCCGGTATCGGGGAAGGTAACAGAGCATTTGCGCGAGTATGAGTACTTAGTCCAAATACTCCGTATCGGTATCTGTGCATCCTTAATAATCTCAATACAAATGAGTAAACTAAACGTGAGATGGTAGTGTCACTTTAAAAGAGCTGTGCATAAACAGATGCCCGTAAACCTCAATGAACTGAAGCAACGTTGTAAAGAAGAGTGGACCAAAATCCCTCCACAACGATGTGAGAAACTGATAAAGTTAGTCATACAGAAAACGATTACTTCAAGTTATTTCTGTGAAAGGTGCTTCTACAAGCTATCGAATCAAAAGGTGTGCTTAGTTTTTCCACACATGGCTTTAGATTTGTACATGTGTTGCTGTTCACCTCAGGTTGTATTTACCCAATTCTAAGACCTGCTGTGGACCAGATGATTGTTTTATTATGTCCAGATATGTAAAACCAAAGAGACTGACTGTATGCACTCATTTTAAAATACAAAAAAAAAAAAGTATTTAAATATTAAAATAACATTTTGGCTGTAAATATAACAAATTTATAAATCTTACTATAGTAATACATACAGTAAGTAAAAAATAGTTACAAGAAAATTGATGGTAAACTGTACCAACTCAACGGGGAGAATTGATCAAAACTGGAGCAGACACATCTGGAGCATTTGCCCATAGTAACCAATCAGCGGCTCTCTTCGGTTTGTTCAGCTAAGCTTTGAAAATGAAAGATAGAACCAAACTGGTCGCCATAAACAGATGCTTCAGATTTGGTCTATTCCTATCTTGATAAATGCTCCCCAATGGGTTTACAACAGCGATGGACGAATACGTAATTCAGGAGCTAGTCTGTCCAGTCCAGGAGCCATTAGGATTTCCTTAGGAGCCAGCTTTATTGACAACAACTAGAGAAATCCTCAGTTAGGTGCCAGCTGTCATTTTTAAGGAGCATTAGCTACCTGGCTCCTGGGATTTGTCCAGCCCTTGGTTTACAATGTAATAGCTTTATAGGAAAGGACATCATTGCAATTACTAAACTCAAGCTCTCTGGTTAAATGTCAGAAATTGTATTTTCAAACCAGTGGGTTATAAAGGGAAAAAGGAAAGGCAGGACAGGGAGGGGAAAAGGAGGAACGAGGAGGGAAATGGATATAAAAAAGGAAAAACAAAAATTTGTACAGAAAATAACTGAATAATAATAATAATATTTTAGTATATTATTAAATAAAACTACAGATACCCTTTAAACAAAAGTAAAACTAAATACATCTGCAAATGTTTTTAACGTTTAAAGCCCAAGTACACCTAAAAAATGATTTCCGGTTTGTGGAAGTGTGGGGAATGATTAGAAACTCCGACCCCCACCCCAGGTTTTTATTTTTGTCTGTGTCCCTGTTGCAGATATTTGCTCTCACTTCCTAAAGTGAAGGGAAATCTCTCCAATGGCATCACAGAGAGCAACAAAAGCCTGATCTAGGTTCTAACCCTTCCCCACTCTATCCAAATGTACGTTTTGCCTGGAGTTGAGCTTTAAAGTGAATGTACAAGCTAGTAAATCTGTGTTACCACTTGTTATTAAATCAAGTTACCTGTAAGATGGCCACTCATGGTTTTGTCATGGCTGTTGAACAATTGTCTATACTTTAATCTTGAAGACTGCGACACGGCCCATTCAGCTGCAGGAGGAGGGCTGGAGTGAAAAAGATGAGTATTCACTATAAGAAGATATCTGCGGTTTTACCAGACATCGGCACCTTGGCTGGCCAGGGAGAATAGAAATACTTCTACATCCATGCAGGGCGGTAACAAACTGGAAATGTACACGCCACAGCATATAAACAAGAGGCCAAACACTGAACTGCTAAAAAGTGTGTAATATTAGTATCTAACGGATTTAGATGTCCTTACTCCTTAAAGCCAGGCAAAAAACTAAAAGCTGTGTTAGCACATAGTGGCTTGGCCACCAGCAGGGTGGTTTCTTTTGTTATGTGCCTAGCATCCTACTCCTGCAGGTGGCAGTATAACCCAGTGGTCTAACGATCTTCGCTGCATCCTTCAATGAACAAAAGGAAAAAAAAAAAAGAAAAAAAAGGAGCCTAGAGCGTAACCTGCTGGTTGAATACAAGACCTCATAATAGTCAAATGCAATATTTTTGTTATTTGCAAATCAAATTTACCTGAATAAAATATATATATATACACACACATACATATATATATATACAAAACCACTATACATCCTCTTATACAATGACCCACAATATTTGTTATCAATCATTGCTTTTTTTTTCTTCTCAATTTGCAAGTTTGTAAATAGATCGCTATTACAATTTGTTTAATACATTTTTAAATGTTTGCTATGCGCTGGTTCAATGATACTCAGTGGGTCAATCCAGTTGTACAGTGAGTCAATGCTAAATAGAAGCTGTGCTGCCACATCCAGTGTCCTTTTTTATTATTTCTGCGGTTTTCAGTCACACCGCATACCTATATAATTGCATTTCATTGTGTTATGCTGTATTACTAGCTACAAGTGTAAGATTAGCATTGTTACATCCTAATCTGTGCATACATAGTATCTTCTGTTTCACCCCTGCTGTTTTCTGTATATTGGTACAGTCTTCTGCTAAAACTTCCCAGCAATGCTTCTAATCTTTCTTTCCACATCACCCTCTGAGAGGTAAGGGGGTCTCCCTTACCCTGTTAATGGCAAATATAGCAATGTCTTTTTCACTCTAAGAATGACAAAGAATCACATCTTATGTATTGAGATGGCAAATAAACTATATTGGATTCTACTCTGAGTCAGACTTATCGAGTTGGACAACTATCTGTGAATATCACCAAGTCAGTAGGTTGTCATAAGGCCAGGAAAGTATGTGCAAATACATAAAGCGGTGGTGGTAACAGAATAGAAGCAGTGGAATAGATTTAATATCACTGCACTTTAGTTATCATTTTTCTCTATACTGCTCTAAAAGGGGTAATGCAACAGAATAAAACCTGTCCCTGACCACTTCTTAAAGCTGAAATAAACTCACAGCCAAAACTGTTTCCTCTCTAAAAAGGCACATAAAATAGTGGTCCATTAATAACTTTCAGGTCACATAAATCAATCCTATTTCTTAGTTTTCGCTTTAATGTTCTCCTAATGACATCACTGGCACATTCCCAACCTCTAATCAATGCCTTAATCATACAGATGTTGTGACTGGATCGCATTTTTGTGGGATACAAAAAAAAATTGTCGCTCTTCTCTACTCCTGTGACCTGTGAGGCTATGCCTTACTGCACATATCTGGAGCTGTAGAGAGGGGAAGGCAGAGAAGAAGAAAACTCAACCTAGCACTGGAATCACTGCAAACTGTCCATAATCATACTATCCCCAAAACTGCAAATCAAAACTGCCAAATTGGCTCTTCCACATGGATATATGACTGGGGTGGGGAAACCCTAGAATGCCATCCCAAATGTGTTAATGGTGCTGATTACTTACATAACGACATCAAAAGACTGGGCTTTCTGAAGTTTCGGGTTAACTTGACCTCCAGCAGCTGAACGACCAAACGATGAACTCTTTGGCAAAGTGGCTACAGAAATATAAAAGCAAACACAGAAGTTACTATAACATCATTTGCACCTATCTGCATGCCACAAACAAAACAAAACAAAAAGCTGGTCCCGTGCAGGCAAATCTGACACTTTCCAGGCGTGCAGAGATCATCCAGTTGCGCAATATGTGTGCATTCCAATTCCTCCATTGAGCAGAAAAGCGGATTGTGGGATGCTGGTCAGAAGGATGCCGACAGCGGAAACCCACTGTTCGAATTTCAGCTGGTTCATCAGGGACCAGCCGAAAATTGATGCGTGTACAGTCGTCTTTATTCAACACTATGGAGAATCCATCAGGGAATTATGATATCGTCTATGTGATGGCCACTGCAGTTGCGTAGAACAGCTAAAACCTACACTTTTTTTTAAGTTTTGGATAAAGTAAGGGAGGTTTTAAAGATCTTCCAGCTTCTTTTCCACCATCTTTGTCCCATTGGAGAGATTTCACTTCACTTCCTGTCTGACAGCCACAACAGAAAGTGAGAGTAAATCCTTTCAAAGTGAGGGAAAACCATGGTCGCCAGCAAGGTCATCAGAACTAGTGTCCTCATTGGAAGATTTCCCATCTATCCCTGATCAGATGACAACCTAAAATTTGGGATTTTACTTAATTTCTACTTTTAGTGATAATGGTCACCAGGACAAATAGAGAGGGTGAATCCACAGGCCACAATCAAAACCTGACAGGTGTTCTAATCCCGCTCTCTTTTATTCAAAACTTGAAAAAAAAAAATTGTCTTTAGTTGAACTTTAAAAATAAACTGTACACCATTTGAATGTCCAACCTAGGAGCAGATAATACAAGATGTATGCTATTATTGCCATTGGTCAGAAAACAATCTTCTATGCTTCTCTGATTTACAGTCACAATTACTGGTGCCTGGCTTTCCCTTACTTCATGGCTGAAGCTTTAAAAGATGCAATTACACTGTCCAATAAGAGAGCCTTGAGCGGCCATAGAGGCAGTTTTGTTGAACAGCAAATGGTGGTTGTCAGGACTTAGCCATGACGTTAGGCCCCGTAACAAGATAGTGACACACTAAGGCGTCATTCACACAAGAAAAGGCAGGCACGTACAGCTCTGTGCTGAGAGCACGGCTGTATCGGGCAGCTCCCAGGAAGGACAGGTGCTGCGTGCGATTAGTACACAGCCCCCGTCCTTCTCTATGGGAGTACACGGCCATACACCGCCCTACACTCACCCCAAGTGCAGACAAGTACGGGTGCGGGTGTCCAGGCTCGGACGCAGACAGGATCCATCCTGTCAGCGTACGAGTACGGACACCCGCACGGACCTGCACTTGGGGGGAGCGTAGGGCGACGTATGGCCACACACTCGTATAGACACGGACAGGGGCTGCGTACTAAATCACACGCAGCACCTGTCCTTCCCGGGAGCTGCCTGATACGGCCGCGCACGCAGCACAGAGCTGTACATGCCGGCCTTTTCTCGTGTAAATGAGGCATACATCAGATCATGTATAAAAAAATAAAAAATAAAAAAAATAGGAGTGGGGTGGTTTGGTGATTTACAGTAATCTCTGTAAAACAAACCTACTCCCCAGATAGACTGGATGCATTTCATTGTGTAGCTTTTAATTTTCAATGCAGAAAACCAGTTCCTGGTACAGTTGGTCTTTAAGGGTCGAGGAATGCTGGAGACAAAATGAAGGTGGCGAAGACATTTTTTCTTCTCTACGCATTTAAAAACTAGGGAGGGTGGTTACGCATTCTACCAACTGCAAGAGCAATTTCAGATACAGCATGAGACCATTTCACACATTTATGTCTCAAGCTGGAAATAATGTAAGAAAGACCCTTACAAAGAAAGACCCTTTCTATACATTGTAAATCAATTTCCATGCAACACGTGAATAAAGAGTCTAAAGTGTTCACAAAACAACAAAGGTTTATAGTAAATGCAGTAAATATGCCGGACGTTTACAGGCTTAGTTAAAAAATGTGTTTTGTACATATTATCAAAGGACTGGGATTCAGGGGAAACTAGGCTGTGTGTTGGCAGACCCTTGCTCATTGTCATGGGTTAATGGACTATAAAATGCACAAAAGACATTCAGCAGTGATAGCAGGCCACCAGCTATCACTGTTTAGGCGGGCCAAGCTGCCCAAACAGATCATCAGTCTGGGGGGGCCAAGCTGCCCGAACAGATCATCAGTCTGGGAGGGCCAAGCTGCCCAAACAGATCATCAGTCTGGGGGGGCCAAGCTGCCCGAACAGATCATCAGTCTGGGAGGGCCAAGCTGCCCAAACAGATCATCAGTCTGGGGGGGCCAAGCTGCCCGAACAGATCATCAGTCTGGGAGGGCCAAGCTGCCCAAACAGATCATCAGTCTGGGGGGGCCAAGCTGCCCGAACAGATCATCAGTCTGGGAGGGCCAAGCTGCCCAAACAGATCATCAGTCTGGGGGGGCCAAGCTGCCCGAACAGATCATCAGTCTGGGAGGGCCAAGCTGCCCAAACAGATCATCAGTCTGGGGGGGCCAAGCTGCCCGAACAGATCATCAGTCTGGGAGGGCCAAGCTGCCCGAACAGATCATCAGTCTGGGAGGGCCAAGCTGCCCAGACAGATCATCAGTCTGGGGGGGCCAAGCTGCCCAGACAGATCATCAGTCTGGGTGGGCCAAATTGCCCAGACAGATTATAAGTCTGGAGTGCCAAGCTGATCATAAATCTGGAGAGCCAAGCTGCCCAGACAGATCAGTCTGGCTGGCCAAGAGTAAAGAGCAGTTTTCTAACATGCACGTAAAGGCAACATTAAAGTGACACTTTCCATCTGTACAGAAGCCAAATTTTCAGAAATCATATTACCAAACCGCATGAAAAGTCCTATCAGGTATAGACAAAATTCTTCACCACCACTTTCTCTAAATTTGCATTTTTACCTCTAAAAATCCCAAAAAGGCAAATGGTGCACTATTCCAAAGAACAAAGTTCTTCATTATGCACTTCATTGTAATAAAAAAAAAAAAATTAAAACCGTAACATTACCCATCACCTCAAAGAATCACCAATCTGTCATTAGAAAACTGCAATCAGGTAACCCCACAAACACCCACTCCCCTGGTAAAATGGTAAATATATGGACAAAAGTCAATGGCATAAACTAGATCTCCTCTTGGAACATCTCTCCTGTGCAGTGCAGGATATTTACATTGAGGAATAAATGCTTTTTTGTGGAGTCATACAAGTGGAACGATCTTTTCCTCTCCATCTCTAAACATACAGTATAGTCCTATGAGGTGCCCTTACACCAGGGGATATGGGTGGTTCATTATCAGACAGACAGTATACAAATATGGATGAATATCTAAGCTCTGATCTTTTTGTTGTTGTTATTAGCAGGAACAGAGAATAGCCAGTGTGTGCACAGGTTTAGAGTAAAAATTGGATGTTTGAACGCACCATAAAATCATTTTGCCTGAGTCCATTGTGGGACACTAGAAGAGTTTAACCTTCATGTTATTCTTACACCTACAGGATACTGGCAAAATATAAAAACTGTGGCCTGCCCAGAAAAACCTGTCCTACTACTAGCATGCATCAGGTTTGTAGCAAAGCAGTACCAAAAGCATGATCATTAACTTGGGATGAAAAGAAAAAAAAGGAAACTGCTCTCTAAAAGAAGCAGCAGGTGATAGACCAGCACAGCCCGAACCACATCCAAATAATGGAGGGAAATCTCCTTTTGGTGAACTGGAGCTGGACAGAGGGAAAGAAGAACAATGTCCTGATTGAAGTGAAAGGCAAACACTACCTTAGGCAGGAAGTTAGTGATGGGTCTCAACACCAACTTGTCCCAATGCAAAAATAAAAAGGGCACTCAATGCAAAAATAAAGACAAAACACTGCCTACAAGAAAGATCACTTTGTGGGTAAGAGAAGAGAAAGGAATCCAGGTCCAACAACGTTACTGGAGTGTGAGACCAACAGTGTCTAAAACAGGAAAGAGAGGGCGTAACCTGACCCTTCATAGCGCTGAGCCAAACTCTGGTCCAGAACGAACTGCAGCAATGAGAGGATCCTAAAGAGAAACTACGAGTGCTAATAAAGTATGACTTCTACATCTGATGAAAGAAAGACTTTGCAGGAAGTGGATTTCCCAGCTTTGAGCAGGAGGACAGCAAGTACCTGTCCTTCAGAAATTAGGCTTCAACAGCCAATTAAAGTCAGTGACCATGAAGCAGAGGTAAAATTGGAACTTTGGATAGTAGATCCCGACGATCTAGCAGTGCCCACGGAGTCTTACTAGGTAGGTTTACCTCAACCAATTGTGCCAGTCCAAAGCAATGAGAATAACCAAAGTGCGCTCCAACTCGATCCTACAAAAGCAGATGTGGAAGTAGTTTCAGGGGAGGAAAAGTATAGGTATACTGATTCCACAGAGCTACCAGAGTATCCACTGCTTCCCTCCTGCTAGAGGTCCCCAGTACCTAGAAACTACCTGTCAAGAGTGTTGTTGAAACTGGAGGCCAGGAAGTCTACATCTGACATCCCCCGCCTCGAACACTTCCAGGTGTAGGAAACACTGCTCTGGGTCAAGACCTTGACAGCTGAGCAAGTCTGCCTGCCAACTGTCCATGCCTGAAATGTACACATCTGAAAAGTTTGAATCGTAAAGATCCACCTAGGACAGGGTCTCCTCTCTAGCAGCAGAGATACTTCTTGTTCCTTCCTGATAGTTAATCTTCGACTGAGTCCAGATTGGGTGATGCATCAGCAGGACGGTCCACCACTGCGGAGGCAGCCAAACTGCACAAAGTTCATGGATGTTGATTGAGAGATGAAATTCCTCTAATGACCAGATCTCCTGCACCGAAAAGTGCCCAAGACATGTCCGCAGCACGACAGGCTGGCATCCATTGTGAAGAGCTTCCAAAAGGTGGGAAGAGCTTCCCTAACTCCAAAGCCAGACTCCTGAACTACCAAGCCAGGGTCAAGCTGGTCCTGGGTGTTAACTGAATTGGTCTATCCAGAGACCACACCATGTTGTCCTACAAAAGACAATGATGAATTGCAGATATATAGAGTAAAACTGGGAAAATAGAACTCGCTTGAAGCTGCCTTGACTAGACCCCGATCCGCCAAGCAACAATTTAAGGCTCAGAATCCACCTAAACTCCTGTAATGTTTGCACAGTCACAGAGACAAGTTGTTCGACAGAGACCTCATAGACTGTTCGGTTCCCTCAACAGGACATCTTCCGAATATCCCACAATGAAAATGCCATAAGAGCACACCAGGGCTAATACTGGGGCTAGACAGCAAAGCTCAGGAATCGCTGATGCAAAAGAAAAATGGGGACATGCAAGCAAGAATCATTGATGTCCAAAGAAGCCAGATCTGAAGACACTCACAGCCTTGTGATCCAAGGTGGGGAGTGAATGCCTCCTTTTGGGACTAGGAAGAGTGAACACATTGGAATAAAATCCCCGAAACTGTTCTGCTATAGGATGGGGGGAATAAAACCTTGATCCACAAGACCCTAGAGGGCCTCAATGAAGATCTGGGGGCAGGGAGAAGTGATGGAAATAATCGTATTCTTAGTTTTTATATAGTTAATATTTTGAACAAGTAAAAGTATGCTTTTTAGAAGGTTCTGAATAAACTTGCCTTGAACCACTTTCACTTGTTCACAGCAACATTATTGTATCATTAAAAAACTGTGTCTTCTTATCTCATAAGTAGTAGCCACCTGTGTGACCGTTTCATGACCCATAGTAGCATTTATTAATTTATATACATGTGCATGATTTTTATTGGTTTATGCTCGGCCATCTATTTCTCAGTTCTGTATATATATTCCTTGTTTTACAATAAACCTTTGAATATAGAGTGAACACACAACATTGGTGTGACTCTTTATTCCCAAGTACTCTTGGGAACTCCAAAATTGGAACCCTAATAAAAAGAACTCCAGTTTATAACATTGGATAATCACCTTCTGCACCCTTTTCAGTGTCTGAAATGCAAGCTGTCCAAGTATCCCCAAAGATCAAAAGATATACCCCAGCTCTGGAAACTGGGGACACACCATCATGCAGAGGAATGCTTGTCTGAGGATTTGGCAGACTTTAACCTCCCTGGTGGTAATCACGAGTGCGGCTCAGGGTTCATTTTCATTACCAAAAGCGGTAACCCCGAGTCACACTCAGGATTACACAGCGCGTTACTTACCTTGTCCACGATCCCCGCTGTGTCCTCCGGCCGATGAAATTAAAAAACAGGGGGGAAAAATAGAAACAAAAAAAGGAAAAATAAATAAATAAAAATCAGACCGCCAGGGAGGTTAAATAGCAGACCTAGCGGTGGACGGGAAGCCAAGCATGAAAAGACTCAAGGAGGTTGTGGGAGTGTAGAAATGAAAGGTATGTTTCTTCTTTTCCTTAGGTTTCATCCACTGAATGGGCATTCTTGCAACCAGTAGCATACTTGATACCATCAAGAGCAGACCAAGCAAGATACAGTCCCTCGAATGTCCTGTGTAACAAATGCTGCTTGCATAAGTGTTCCACAGTATAGCACTTTAACCAAAGTGCCGTATGCATACCATGCGAACCAACATAAGACACATGCAAAAGATTTAACGGAAGGCCCCCAGCAAAAGCATCACAGCGGAAATGTACTACTACACCCAGCTGCACAATAAACAACCGCAGAAAACTCCAGCAGAGATGTAGAGAACAGTGTTAACTGAAGAAAAAAAAAAGATTGAGAAATAAAAAGGATATAGATAGATATGTTAGTCGTCATCACTACAGAAACAAAACACTAGGTCCATTCTCCCTAGCACACTAGTGAAAAACTGAGGCATGTTAGTAGGAAGGTTTATCATAGACTGGCCTACTTTTTGTTTTGCCAGTGTCTAATCCTTCTGCAAGTGGCAGCATAACCCAAAGGTTACAGTCTTCCTGTGTCCCTCAATAGACAAGATGAAATAAAGTTAATCTGTGGACAGAGTATGAATATTCAAGTACCGTATTTTGCGGTCCATAAGACGCACCGGACCATAGGACGCAGGGAGGTCCGGCGCGCCTTATGGAGCACTCGAGACTGTAGCTTCTGTGACAGCTTCTATGACAGAAGCTGTGACAGAAGCTGCAGTTAGTGACCGCTGAGACAGGTGGCGCTGTGATTACAGCGCCACGGTCTCAGTGATGACACAGAGCAGGCGAAGAACGTCTATTCTTCGTCTGCTCTATGGTTATCTCGATAGTCGCCGCTGCTCGGTTTTAATACGAGTGATCTCATTAGATCACTCGTATTAAACGAGCAGTGGCTCCTGCTGCTGAACTCGATCGCCGCCGCTGCTGCTCGGCTTTAATACGAGTGATCTCGTTAGATCACTCGTATTAAACGAGCAGTGGCTCCTACTACTCGCCCGGCGCCCGAAACTGCATGTCTCGGGCGTCGGGATTCGCTCCATAAGACGCAGGCACTTTTTCCCCCTCCTTTTGGGGGGGGCAAAGTGCGTCTTATGGAGCGAAAAATACGGTATATACTGATTCTAAACAAGCAGTAAATGCACTTTAAACTAAGCATGCACACCCCCTAGCTCTGTAGAACAAATTTTCCTCGAATTTCACAGCAGAAGCACTATAGTCATTCAAGTCTCTCAGCAGCTCAGCCCTGCCCTACTATTGCCTTCTAGAGCATCTGCTCTGTGTCTACATTATGGATCAGTAGGATAGGAGGCAGCTGAGTCAGCTACAGTAGCAGGGAGAGTTGAGATGCCAGGTTACTGCTGGGAAGAGAGGTCAGGTTTAGCCTGAGCTGCTAAAAAACATTGGATTCAGTGATTCTGCTGTGAAGTTTTGGGATTAATTGTTCCACATTGCCGGTAGATACAGAGGTCAGTGAGAGCTTTAAAAAAGGTAAGGAAGGTTTTTAAAAGGTAATTTACTGCTGTTAAGAAAATGTAAACACTTGAATATCCATAGCCTAGCCACAGGTTCACTTTAGAAACACCGAGGTTAAACTGTATATGTTCAACAATCCATGTATTCCCGGTGGATGGACTTCATGCAAGAAGAGACAAAATCAAAGACAACAAACTATTCAACACAATGTGAAAACATGCAAAGGTGCATTGAGGATTAGTTTTGAGCAGCGTACCAGAGTGAGCAAAAGCAGGAAGTGACTGGATTACGGCAGGGACTCCGTTAGCCAGAGGCTGCACTGCAGTACCAGGAACAGAAGACACTAGAGGAGGAGACATCCCCACTACAGGGATAGGAGGCATTGACACAGTGGCTACAGCTGCAAGAGGCGGCATGCCAGTGATTCCAACCATACCTGCAAAACACAAAACAGGAGTACCTCAAACATATCAGCAATGGCACCATAACCTTAGCCTTATCCCAGTGCACACACACCCTTGCTTAAAGTCGTTTGAAGCAGAAAGTCTCATTAACTGGCCATGCGAGAGACAAATGTAAAGTGGATAGGCCAATCTTCTGAGGGCTGAAGGGTGCCAAGAATACTATTACTATTACCCAACGCCTCAAGTTCTGTAAATGGAGGAGTTACATGACAGAGAATGGAGTAGTTGAATGACAGAATTTTAACCACCCATTCATGGAACAAGATAAATTGCAATCACAAGTGTTGGGAGAACTTGAAAAGGACATTCATTATGATGTATAAGTAGTGACTTTTTGGATTGTTTTATATGAAATATATGACACTGATGGTGAGATACACAGGCAAAAATTGCACAATTTTGGTTGTACAGTTATTATATATTTAGAATATTTAATTTTTATCAGGGAGAGCTTATACACGTTTAGGGGTTATAATACAGGCACTTTAGTTTATATAAGTGAAACAGGATGTATGCACTTTAGTTTTATATTATAAATATAATTATAAGTATTTATATGTAATTTAAATAGTGCAGTGTATTTTGACTTAGACCATGGAATAAGAGTATTACAAGCTCTTTAAATGGCAGAGAGGGCAGCGGGGCAACCTTTGAGGCTAGCTGCACACAGATTCCACTCACAGCGCCGCTGAGTGCAATATCCGGTAGTTGTGAAGGTGGCACTGAGGTGAAGACTTTTACAAGAAGCAGCAGATTCAGAGAATGGAAACACACCATTACATACACTCACCGGCCACTTTATTAGGTACACCTTGCTAGTACCGGGTTGGACCTCCTTTTGCCTTCAGAACGGCCTTAATTCTTCGTGGCATTGATTCAACAAGGTGATGGAAAAATTCCTTAGAGATTTGGGTCCATATTGACATGATAGCATCACAGGCCCAAAGTGTGCAAAGAAAATATCCCCCACACCATTACACCACCAACCTGAACCATTGATACAAGGCAGAATGGATCCATGCGTTCATTTCGTTTTTATGCCAAATTCTGAACCTACCATCTGAATATCGCAGCTGAAATTGAGACTCATCAGACCAGGCAACGTTTTTCCAATCTTCTATTGTCCAATTTTGGTGAGCCTGTGTGAATTGTAGCCTCTGTTTCCCATTCTTAGCTGACAGGGAGTGGCACCTGGTGTGGTCTTCTGCTGCTGTAACCCATCTGCTTCAAGGTTCGACGGACGTGTTATGTGTTCAGAGATAGTATTCTGCATACCTTGGATGTAACAAGTTACTGTTGCCTTTCTATCATCTCGAACCAGTCTGCCCCTTCTCCTCTGACATCAATAAGGCATTTTCGTCCACACAACTGCTGCTCACTGTCTATTTACTCTTTTTTGGACCATTCTCTGTAAACCCGAGAGATGGTTGTGTGTGAAAATCCCAGTAGATCAGCAGTTGCTCAAATACTCAGACCAGCCCGTCTGGCAACAACAACCATGCCACGTTCAAAGTCACTTCAATTCCTTTTCTTACCCATTCTGATGCTCGGTTTGAACTTCAGCAAGTCGCCTTCACCACGTCTAGATGCCTAAATGCTGCCATGTGATTGGCTGATTAGCAATTTTTGTTACCAAGCAATTGAACAGGTGTACCTAATAAAGTGGCCGGTGAGTGTATATCCAAATTTGACGGATCCCGACAATTATGTCTGGATCTGCACAGCTGAGTGAGTGACAGCTGGCTCTGCCTATCTAGAGGCAGAGCCAGCTGTACCCGCCTTCTCCCCAGTCCGCTCCGCCAGTCAGCGCTGGAGGATCGGAGCAGGGAGGGGGGAATCCAGCCCCTCCCGTCAGGGCTCTCTGCGCCGGTATGTGTTCGCTCACTTGCCGATCTACTGAGCCGACCTGTGACAGTCTCATTGTCACAGGTCGGCCTGAACTATGAGGATGAGTGAAAAGCACTCACCTCATAGTTCTCCTTTAAGCTTACATTTCATTCTAGGGACACATATTTTATACAAAGACCTGTTAAAACACAAACAAAAAAAACAGAGCAAGCCTCCCAAAAGCATCCTTCTTTGCAAACTACAATTTTACAGGCTAGGTATAACTGGTAAGGTAAAAAGTTATCTGATTTTTGATCAGTAGTCATCACACATCTAAGCTGTCAGCTCTCTGCCAAAAAAAAAAAATATATTTTAAAAAGAACACATCCCTGAAGCATACTGACCAAATGCGGCTGGTGTGGGTACAGTTACTGGTGGCTTCAACATGGCAGCGGGGAGGGCGGAGGGCAGTGGGTAACCTTGTAGTGTTAGCTTAATCAGTTTCATCGCTATGGAGAATTCCAGCTGGTCCATTTTACCATCATTGTTCATATCAGCTAAAGCCCTGCAGAGGAGCAAAAACAAAAAGAGAAAAATGATCATTCATTTGCTTCTAACAGGACAGCATTGTCATGGTTACCAAAAAAGAAAATGCAAAAATTCTATGGAAATGCAGAAAACATAGATGCACCACAAGGTTTATTTAACTCTTGAACTGGCTGTGATGTACATTGACTTTGCTTTTTTTTCACAGAGAATACTACTATGATAGACCAAGCTATAGCAGATTTACAAGCAAAATAGGAGAACACTCTAAAACACAACTCTAAAGTTTGACATTATTGATAGCCAGGGCGTGAAAAATTTTAGGGTGTTAGTCAGCAGACAGAAATGTCACCAGTCAGCATGACCGGACTATAGCCTTGCAATTTATGTAAAAATTTTTAGGGATACATAGGGCGGAATTTATCAAAGCAATTGCGACAGTTTTAGCCTCTTAGATCATTTTTTTTAATGTGCAAATCTGTCTTATAACATGTGACACTGTTTTCATCCGAGCTTGCACTACTTTGTTAGTTGCATGTTTTTTGCACCTGTTTTCATCTACACTTGTTCTGCGGCTGTATGAAACTGGAGCATCACCTAACCAAACAATCACAACTTAAGAAGTCCCCATGACCACTTCTTCAAGAAGCGACAGTTAAGCTTTTTGCCTGGAGTTAGAAGTCTTCTTTCCTGGAGTCTATTAAACCTCATTTATCAACAACATTACACTAGCATCATAAATCTGGTGCAAATATATTCTGTGCAAGTTCAAACACTCGCAATTGCTTTGAGAAATTCCCCCCATAGAGTTTTATTTTGGTGGTATATAATCACCACTGGGGTTTTTATTTTTTTACTACATTCGGAAAAATGACCATCAATTTCTGGAAAAAAAAAAAATTCCCTACGTTATGTTAAGAAAACATTTATTCTTACCCATATTTTTAGTCAAATATAAAAGACGGGGTCGCGTCGGGTATATAGACACCAAACAAGTTAAGCCTTAAAATTGTGCGCGCCTGCAAAATCGCAAAAAACAACCACACTGAAAATTGGCCATAGGCGATGCTTTAAACGCTTTAACTGCTCATCAGTTTAGTGTCATCAGTGCTTAATGGCCCTAGAATTATTGCTCTCACTCCGACGTTCGTGGTGATGTAACATGTGCGGCACAATAGGCCCAATCGTCGTTTTCGTACGTAGGCGCACCTGACGCATGTTTGCGTATGTACGTGGGTGGCCAGAGACTTTTTTTAAAAAAAGTGTTTTTTTTAAATTACTCTTTATTTTTTTACACTTAACTTTATTGCCATCACATGGGGGGGCTACAATTTGCATTAAAGGTCCTCTTTATGGAGACCCCTAATGTCACCTAGGGAGCCCCAGAGAAGAGATCTGCTTAACCAGCTTCTCCCCAGCTTCTGAAGCTGGAGAGTGACAGCAGAATGCGGAACTGATGTAATATACATCACTTCCTGCATTCGGGGACTGGAGAGGAGATCAGAGGGAGTTCGTGTACCAATCTCCCTTTGATCTCCTGTGTTAGAGCAGCTGTGCCGGTCCCGGCCGCAGCGGATCTTGGGACTGGCAGTCTCTAGAGACGCCCGATCGCATGAATGTCAAGCTTCCGGCCGGCCGTTTAATTACAATGACAGACGAGAGGACGAGCGGATTTTCCAAGCCCTGTTGATAGCAATGTGTATTTTACTCTTTACTGCTGCTTTTCTAACTCTTCATATAGTTCTGGCAGCAAGATCCTATGTTCAATTGTGTCCATACACTGTTCGAATTAATGTTTGTGTGCACGTTTACATGCGTACAGTGCAAATGTAGCGTATAGGCCACCACCTCTACTATTCAGAAGCCTAGCGTCTAAGGTGCTAGGACACGCAGGTGGCTCCAATAAAGTACATTTGCACCGTATGCATGTAAACCTTAACACAAAATGTTTACATGTGTATAGAATAAAACGCGCTCCATATACAGGTGAAACTCGATTAGAATATCGTGCAAAAGTAATTGCAGTAAGTGCTGCAAAAGGGGCCCAAACCAAGTACTGAGTACATATGCATGCTTGTACTTTTCAGAGGTCCGATATTGTTCTATGTACAATCCTTGTTTTATTGATTGCATGTAATAATCTACTTTTTTGAGGTTGTGGATTTGGGGTTCTTGGGGTTTTCATGAGCTGTAAGCCATAATCACCACAATTATGACAAATCACGGCTTGAACTATCTTGCTTTGCATGTAATGAGTCTATCTCATATATTAGTTTCACCTTTTAAGTTGCATTAGTGAAATAAATGAATTTTGCACGATATTCTAATTATTTGAGTTTCACCTGTACAAGCCCTTGAATGCAGATTTTTCCATTTCAGTTTATGCAGCCTAGTAGGTAGTGTTATCTCTTCAATACAGCCAAGACTGGTGTGTTCCAATGCAGTTATGATTATAATTAAGTGGCTACAGTGAGTTTAATAGACCACTAATCTGCATATTAACAATGCTCCCAGATGAACAAAAGAAACTAACAGGGTTATTCACAAAAGGGTGAAGAGTTTGGAGAAGGCAGGAGAAGAGAACAATCTAGGACAACAAAACTGAACTGGAAAGTGAGCCGAATTGGAGAATGTTTCCAAATCAGCTATGTTGTCCTAGATTGTTCACTTTTCCTGCCTTCTTCACTCTTTGTAAATTACCCTGTCATTATAAAGATTTTAACATGTACACAACTACCATTAGCTGGGATGCAATGTTCAATGAGCGCTGGGGCTGCAGAAAAGAGAGTGAGGACTGTGTCCGCAATCTCTTTTTCTATTTTAAAAGGTAAATATCAGGGTTATGTTTAGACTCTAATATTTCCCCTAAGCCCCTAAAAGCAAAAGTAAAAAAAATAGAATAAAAAAAAAAAAATTAAAATTTTAAAAAGGTCGGAACAAAAAGTCCATTCCGGCTTTGGTCTAAAATGTAATTTCGGGCCATCCCGAACCATTTTATTTTAATAGACCAGATTGCTTACAAATACTGACACTGCCACGGTATGGGAGCCAAAGCATAAGTGTCATTCTGCTATATAAAAGGCAAAACAGAAAATTAACAAAAATGTTTGCAACTTGCGATCAACCCAGACAAAATTTGCTTTGCAAAGACACAAGTGCTCACTGCATCTTCTATTCATAATTATGTAATGCGTTAGTGTCATTCCCCATTCAGCTCAGCTGACGTATATTACAGCTGCCTAACAAGACTTGGTTTATGAGAGGTTGTAGCTCCAGAGTGGATATCAATAAGACATTCTGGCCAAGTTCCCAGTATGGACAAATGGAATAAGCCACAAATTCAGTGAGAGCAGAAAAAGCATTCATAGTAAATGGATTTCTTTAGATAGCTGCCTTGTAAGAATCTGAAACAATCCTTCACTTATCTCTGGAGTAGAATACACACGCTTGCCTGACACGCTAGCCACACACAGAGGCTGAGCAAAACTGTGCTGTCAATGATCACACAACTTAGGGGCTTTCTGTGCATCCAGTGTCCCTGATAGGTTTGGATGCGTATTGTGACATACCACCAATCAGTACTGGATGTAAATGGAATGTACGGTGTATTTGTATATATTTCCTTTATTTTCTTAGGGGTTATTTTTAAATATAAAATTATGAAAACATGCAAATATTTCAGATTTACTACTTGCAGCCAACAGGTGGAAATCTATAGGAAACTGCAACACTTTTAGAAGACAGATTTCCTGCTCCAGCACTGAAAGGAGAAGCAATAGACTGATGGTCTCATTCCTCAGGTCACTGCTCTCTCTTTCCAGCTCTATTTTAAAAGCAGGGAAAATCAGATAATACAAGGGCTGCAACTAATGATTATTTTGATAATCGATTAGTTGGCCAGTTAATTTATCGATTAATTGTATTTAAAAAAATAAATAAAAATGTCATAAATACCATCCTTACTTGAAAATGAAATACACAATTGCAGTGTTACAAAGTTTACTTGAGAATAAAACTGTATGCACAATTTTTTGCAATCGCACTGCACTGGAAAGCACAGCATTGTGGTTCCATGCATTCCAGTGCGGGCAATCACACTGTGGGTGGGAGGCGCGTTTGAGGTGACATAGAAATGAATGGCACTGCAACGCACCTCTTGCAGCTGAATTTGTCAGGCCGGAACCGAAAATGACTTTGTTCCCACATTCTATCATTTATTTTTTTTATAATTATATTGTAAGCACATGGCGTTTGACCAGCTTCAGCCAGGGAATGACAGCTGCCAGTGCCATGATTCCGCAGACCGCAGCTGAAGGTAAATACAGCAGGTAGTGGGCGAGTGCACTAGGCAGCCTGCTATTGGCCATTTCAAATTGCAATAACCAATAGCAGGCTGGCTGTTGCACCCACCCATGCTTGCTCTGCTCTCCTCCCAGCATAGAGGAGAGAGCTAGGGGATCCAACCAACTAATCGATAATGAGAATAGTTTACAAATATTCTTATAAAATCAATATGTTGGTTGCAGCCCTAGATAATAGATAGCTGAATGTTTTAGGGAACAGATGCACCCCTTTCTCCCTTGTTGAAGAGACTACAAAAGCTATGTATAAAGTATAGAACTAACATCTATGGAGCAAGTAAAACACATCCTAGAAAAAGGGATAAGAAGGCCCTGGTACTGAAGTGGTTAATGTGTCACCCAAATTTCTTAGTAGCTCCACCAATACTCACCATATCTGTGCAAGAACTGGCGGGTGAAGTCCAGACTGGAGGAAGAAGTTTCTGGCCTGATCTCCTGCAATGAACACAGTCCAAGAATAAATAAAGAATATCTTATAAATGCAAAAGTTACAACTGCAGCCGTGCTATACAAAAGTGAGCATGCTATTAAAAGATACATTTTGTGGATTTTCTGATCTTAGCAATAATCTCAGCATTAGAAGTTCACCAAGTTGCTTTACTCGTCATCAGCAGATGCTCTTTTCACTGGTGCTAAAGCACCATGCCAGGCAACAATAATCAGCATTATTTAAAGCTGAACTCCAGACAAATCTCTACATTCACAGATGAAATACATATATCGGACTAGATTAGTTGCCAGAGGATTCGTATTCCTGTCCATCCATTCCTTACAGTTACTCCATTCTGGCAGGGCAGAAGACCTGATTTTCCTCTGCTGCAGTAATTACCACAGACCTTGCCCCTCCCCAGCCTGTGACTGTACACTGAAAGGAGAAGCAGAAGACTGATGGGTCTCATCCTTTGGTCACAGCATCCACTGCAGTAACGGATTGGCTCCTCCTGCCATTTCTCCCTCTACCATCTGAGCTCTGCTGTACAGGGGATTGACAGTTGATACCAAATCAAATTCAGGTACTAAAACTGCTAAATACATTTAAAGTGACACTAAACTCAGAAGTTAAATCTTAAACATACATTCAAGTAACTTAACTATTAACAAAAATGTACCTTATTTGTGTATCACTCGGCTGTAGATCCTCAAATCATCTCTGAGTTGGTGCCGACACTGTCCTTCCTTCTGCAGGGTGGCTACTTTTGTTCTACATGATCCCCGTGTGTGTTGTAAAGTAGTCACCACCCCAAGGTCACTCCTGTGATGAACTACAATCTCAATACAAATTAGTAAACTAAACATGGGACTGTAATCAATCACGCGAGCGAGCTTGGAGCGGCGATTACTTTACAACACACAGGGACCATGGGGTACAAAAGCAGCCCCCCTCCAGAAGGAAGGACAGTGTCGGCACCGATTCAGAGATGATTTGAGGATCTACAACTGGAGTGATACACAAAGATACATTTTTGTTAATAATTAAAAAGGTACTTGAATGTACACTATATTGCCAAAAGTATTGGGACGCCGGCCTTTATAATGTATTTTTAATATTTAGCTCCTGAGTTTAGTGTCGCTTTAATGATGCATTACTGAATAAATTGTTGCATTCATTTGAGCCTGGAGTTCAGCTTTAAAGTAAATCTGTAAGCTGATTTTCCAAAGCAAACTGAAGGTGCCCATACACCTTACGATTATCGGACGATAATCGTATGCGATCGACTTTTCGACGACAATCGTACGTGTGAATAGAGTGCCCGAACCGACATTACTGTACAATCGTACGACTTTTGACGGTCAAGCATGTTTGAAAACTTTGCTCGATCGTACGATTGTCTTAAGGTTGCTGGCGTTTCCGTCCGTCAAAAGTCGTACGATCTACACTGCGCATGCGCGAACGAAAATACGACAAATCAATTACCGCATTTCGTCCAGGTGCTTCTCGTTAATTACGGCTAAATTAATCTTGCGATAAGCGGGGCAGGATGGGGCTGTCGTACGAAAATCGTACGACTATTCGATCATCGGACGAAACGTTTCGTCCGATAATCGTAAGGTGTATGGGCACCTTAAGCCTGAAGATGTAGACATGGGGCCCTCCAATGCCAAAACGTATTGTTTAATTAGGAAATATACACAACCTGGAACTTCATCAAAAATAATTGATATTCTTAATTCATGGTCACAATTCCATTAAAAGCCCAGTGGATATCCACGCCACCTGCTTGTCTATCTGGGTAGGTGGGACCCTAAACCTGTGAACAACGTACCACCACTATTTCCTGAGGCCTTGGATGCTGTTCCATGAAAACCTTTGAATTCAAGAGACCAGGATACAATGTACACACATTTTGTTGGTGAGCTCTGTCATTCTCTTACCAGATTTTAAGGATATGGATTAAAGTAAATGCAAACTTTTTTTGGCTGGGGATAGAGTGGTGAGGGCTCAGATGCTCAGCCAGGTTTCTATTGTTGTTTTTGTATCGGTTGGGATGATCCAACCCTCTAAACTTGCTAAAGAAAAATGTCAGCTGCATTCTGATTGGTGGCCACAGGCAACACATACACTTCCCAACCAGTACTTAAATTAGCAACCATATGCCCCTACAAAGATGGAGCATCAATATTGTTCAATACAACACTAGTATTTAATTATCCAGTTATGTTTCTCATGGAAGGCAGAGCTCATAAGTGGAAGTTAATGATTGATTTGTGCAATGATAATTTTATTTTGCAGTAAAAACAAACATGCAATTATCTAGCAAGACATTGCAGAACTGGAAGGGAAGGATCCTGGAATCAATACAGCAAAATCTAATTAGCGTGTTAACCAAATTACTGTCCGTGAGCGAGGCATGAATTTGCCGAAATGAATTAGTAAAAGTGGGTGGGATATACAGTACTCGGAAACAGCACATCCATTCGTCTGAATTAATCAGATTAGGGGTGAGATTAGCAGGAGAAAATCCCATTACCAGGAGGATGGCTTGGATAGGACACCAGTTCACAATTTCTGACTGCCACAAAAGGTTCATGTCCGCCATGTTTACACTGAGCAAATCTCAGCTCAAAAGTTAAAACACACACACCTGTGCAAAAGTTTCAGGCAGGTTTTTTAATAAAATGCTGTAAAGTAAGAATGATTTGTTTATTTTTATCAATTCACAAAATGCAAAGCGAGGGAACAGAAGAAAAATCTAAATCAATATTTGGTGCGACTGCCCTTTGGCTTCAAACCAGTTTCATGTCACAGGACATACACCATGGCAAGACTGAGCACAGCAACAAGACACGAGGTAGTTATACTGCATCAGCAAGGTCTCTCCCGAGCCAATATTTCAAAGCAGGCTGGGGTTTTAAGATGTGCTGTTCAAGTTCTTTTGAAGAAGCACAAAGAATCCGGCAACGTTGAGGACCATAGACGCAGTGGATGGCCAAGGAAACTTAATGCAGCAGATGAAAGACTCATCGTGCTTACTTCCCTTCGACATCGGAAGATATCCAGCAGTGCCGAACTGGCAGAAACCAGTAGGACCCAGGTACACCCATTTACTGTCCAGAGAAGTCTGTCCAGAAGTGGTCTTCATGAAAGAATTGCGGCCAAAAGCCATACATCCGACGTGGAAACAAGACTAAGCAACTCAAAAGGTGCACGAAATCATAGAAACAGCAGAAAAATGGCAGCAGGTGCTTTGGACTGATGAGCCAAAATGTTAAATATTTGGCTGTAGCAGGAGGCAGTTTGTTCGCCGAAGGGCTGGAGAGCGGTACAATAATGGGGGTCTACAGCAACAGTGAATCATGGTGGAGGTTCCTTGCAAGTCTGGGGCTGCATTTCTGCCAATGGAGTTGGATATTTGGTCAGTATCAATAGTGTAATCAATGCTGAAAAATACAAGCAGATACTTTGCCATCATACCATACCATCAGGGAGGAGTGTGTTTGGCCCCAAATTTATTCTGCAGCATGACAACTCCAAACATACAACCAATGTCATTAAGAACTATCTTCAGCGTAAAGAAGAACGAGTCCTGGAAGTGATGGTTTGGCCCCCACAGAGCCCTGATCTCAACACCATCGAGTCTGTCCGGGATTACATGAAGAGACAGAAGGATCTGAGGCAGCCGACATCCACAGAAGATCTGTGCTCAGTTCTCAAAGATGTTTGAACAACCTACCTGCTGAGTTCCTACAAAAACTGTGTGCAAGTGTACCTAGAGGAACTGATGCTGTTCTGAAGGCAAAAGGTGGTCACACCAAATATTGTTTTGAGTTGGAGTTGTCTTCTGTTCATTTACTTTGCATTTTGTTAATAGATAAAAATAAAACTATGAACATTTTAATTTCTGAAATCATTCTTACTTCACAGCATTTTTTCACAACTGCCTAAAACTTTTGCACAGTTATATATATCATTCTAGAAATTATTAGAACTATCAGAAAACTAACCAGGTGACCCGTTTATGTGAACAATCTCATTCCCAGGCTATGTACATCCCTAAGCTTAGTTACTTTCAGAGCAATTACCCAAAAACAAATTCTGATTTCACTGGCTACCCATTTTATTGGAACAAATTGGTAGCCAGTGAAATTCAAATTTGTTTTTGAAAGACAAGTAAAATATTTGCCGGTGACACAAACTGTACTCCAGCCAAAAGGTATCAGCATGAAGATTTTTACTTGTCTTTCAATAAAGTCCATTACAGAATACCCGCTGCCATGTGACAGCTTCTTTTTACAGAGTCCGGGGACTGCAAGCATTACAAACAATTACCAGTGATGTAGCCAGCGGTTGGTTGGAGTCCATGGAACTGCTGGTCATGTTTAGCTCTCTCCTCCACTGTTATGGCCCAGATGTCCAAATTCCCTGCTAGAGAGAAAAAAAAAAAAACAGAAAAAAAAGATTCTGAATAAAGTAGCTAACCGCTTATGTAATACTTGCCCAAAAAACTAGACATACTTGTGAAGTAGGGATACACCAAAATGACATTTTAAAAATCAATACTGATTGTGCTCTGCTCTCCATCCTAATTGCTCCGCCCGTCACAGGAGCCGAGCTCTCCTCCCACACCGCCCGACTTAGCACCCTGACAACTCTCTCCTCCCTGCACCAAGCAGCCCGACATCCTGACAACTCTCTCCTCCCCTCACAACCCAGCCCGACAACTCTCTCCTCCCCGCACAACCCAGCTGCGCATCCTGACAACTCTCTCCTCCCCGCACAACGCAGCTGCGCATCCTGACAACTCTCTCCTCCCCGCACCGCCCTGCTTAGCACCCTGACAACTCTCCCCTCCCCGCACAACCCAGCTCCGCATCCTGACAACTCTCTCCTCCCCGCAACACCCGCCATCCAGACAACTCTCTTCTCCCCGCAACACCCGGCATCCAGAGAACTCTCCCCTCCCCGCAACACCTGGCATCCAGAGAACTCTCTCCTCCCCGCAACACCCAGCATCCAGACAACTCTCTCCTCCCAGCAACAACCGGCGTCCAGACAACTCTCTCCTCCCCGCAACACCCGGCATCCAGACAACTCTCTCCTCCCCGCAACACCCGGCATCCTAACAACGCTCTCCTCCCTGCAACACCCGGCATCTTGACAACGCTCTCCTCCCCGCAACACCCGGCATCCTGACAACTCTCTTCCCTGCACCACCCGGCTTGGAATCCTGACAGGTCTCTCCTTCCCGCACCACCCGACTCCGACTCCAGACAACTCTCTCCTTCACGCACTGCCACACTCGGTCTCCTGACAGCTTCTCTCCTCCCTGCTGGGCACCGGCAGCTGGATCGGCTCTGTGTCATCTCTGATCCTTACTACCTCTGCCGACACAGGCGGGGGAGAGCAGGGGGGATTAGAGGGGACACAGACCGGCACCTAGCCAGGAGCAGACAAAGCTAGGGATGCACCACATTTTCAGCCGTTTTGGTAGTATCGGCATTTTGCCCATAGAACCAAATTCATCCGGAATGTCTCGGTGGACGAAATTTCAGTGCATCCCTACTTTAAAGCTCAGAAAATATTGTCTATAAACAAGAGTCATGTGTATTCTTACTTCAATTTTCAGCACAGGCTTTGTACAACACAGTAATGAGGTCTACTTTTACTAGGTAATAAAAGGATCTGCAAAGGCATGCGGTGCACACACAGAGGATTTATATCCTTTATGGCTATCAAGGAATATATTTAATTGGAAGTTTTTATGTCCCCGGAGGTCAGCTTTAAGAACCCAGATTTGTGGGATAGTAGTAAGGGATATTAGTAAGGACCACAGTGTATCAACAGTTCCAATATTCCTTGTGTTACAAAGGTTATATGCATTTGTGCTCACACACCCAACAGGTTGGTTGCCACATGTCGAAAATTTTTCATTTTAATGAGTCACGCGGTTAGAAAACATGCAAATGAATGGTGCTGATCAGTGCTTGCTTCAGTTCCTTCAAGCACAAAAACAATTGCAATAGCAGCTGCAGATAGATTTAAAAACTTTCACAGGTTTCAAAAAAAGCCAATCTACAGGTAAAACAATACACGTGGTGCCAAAAGTCAGAATACATCTGCATTATGTATTCTTTCTGGGCCTCCCATTACCTGAATTCCACCAGGTGGCGAAGAATCCAATACGGTACTGAGTGACACCACTGAAAAATGGCACCAATAGTTGCAGAACTGCCATCCTGACACACGTCAGGACGCAGCAAGTCTGCCATAAGACTTTTTGACTAATTCAGCCTACCAATCTCGATGACTAGAAGCCCCCCTCAAAACACAATTATCAGAGAAGAAAACCCATTGAAATCTGTAGCCACAAAAATATGATGGTGGTTCATTAACCACTTGTTGACCAGGTGTTCACACACCCTTCCTGGCTAGGCCATTTTTCAGTATTCAGCGCTGCGGTGCTTTGATATTTATTCCGTCATGCAACGCTGTACAGAAATTAATTTTATACCATTTTTTGGGGACAGATAGAGCTTTATTTTGGTGATATTTAATCACCACTGGGGGTTTTATTTTTTACTAAGAAAAAATTACAAAAAATTTAGAAAAAAAACTTTGTATTTTTACATTGTCAGGAAACAATTACTACCCAATTCTGTGGTAAAATTATAAAAGACGGGGTCACGTCGGATAAATAGACACCAAACATGTCAAGCTTTAAAATTGTGCACACCCGTGAAAACGCAAAAAACTACCATACCCAAAGCTTTAAAAGCTTTTACTGCTCATCAGTTTAGTGTTATGCGTGTATGTATGTATGGGTGGGGACTTTTAAAAAAACATAATGGGTTTTTTTTCACGTGTCACTTTACTTTTTTTTTTGCAATTTTTTTAATTTAACTTTATTGTTATCACATAGGGGGCTAAGAAACCCCCCCTATGTGATAGCAAAGAGGATGTGACAGGTTCTCTTCATGAAGACATCAGGGGTCTCTAAGACCCCTGTCACCTAGGGACCCCCAAAGAAGCTGATGAAGCAGAGATCTGCTTCATCAGCTTCTCTCCAGCTTCTGAAGCTGGAGAGTGACACAAGAATGCAGAAGTGATGCAATATAGATCAGTTCCGCATTCTGACCACCATTCATGATCCACCATGCTGGTCCGGGGCTCACACCAGGCACAGCAGAGCCCGGGACAACGGGAGGGGGGGCCGCAGATACCGGAACATAGCGATCTGCTCTAGAGCTGGCAGATCGCTTGTATGTAAACAGGCATCGCTGCCTGCTTTTACATTTTGGCACTTTCCCACTTACGTGCGCGAGGGGGCGTGGCTGATGGACCGTTTAAAAACACCCGCTCAGATCCAGGAAGCTTCCGGCCGGCCGGATAAATGGGTGGGTGGCATTTCTCTTTAATGCTCCATTATCTCCTTCCCCATCTCCGTTTATGTAGAAAACCACAAACTAAAGAAGAACATGAAACCTGTGGGCCCAACACAATTGCAGCAGCATTTTACCCAGGAAAGCAAAGTTCCTGAGAACCATTACGTATTTAGCTATCCCAGTAAACAAATGTTATAAGCTTATACTGTCATTTGTAGATAGTTCCACTTTAACATCAAAACAAAAAGGGAATGTGTCTTTAAAACACACAATATGTAAATACATAAGACAAGTGAAAGTAAATGATGTCACGCCTTTATGTGACACATTCACCTTGGACATGCTCTTACCTCCAAAAGGAGCCGCGGCAAATTGAGCCATGTTGGTGCCCGTTTAGCTTGCTAGATAGTGCCTGCAAAAAACAGGAAATAAAGATCAGCTACAACTTTATCTCTTGTAAAGAATAAACATTTACAAACTTTTTTAAAAGTTGAGTTAACCAAATAGTCATAATAATGTAAGGAGTTGGAACCACCTCTTATCATATAATACAATAAAAAAAACTGCAGGCAGGGTTTTTGGGGACCCCTACCCCTTAATGGGTGCAGCAAATGGCTTGGGTGCAACTATTAGGGCTGAAGCATGCTGGTAGTGGGAGGGTTTGTTCTGGGCAATAGTTTTTTTTGCTTCCTAGTGTTCAATCCTCCTGTAGCAGACAATAACCAGTAGGGTAAACACCTTCAGGGTCCCTCAATGGCCAGGAAAGAAAAATATCTGATATATAACATATAAGACCTGCTCCTAAGACCTGTTGTGAGCGGTCAATACACAGTATTTTTGTGGACTGAGAGGTGTCAGCCCTACCCAGTTTTATTTTGCTAAACTATTCAACCAGGTCTCTACTCACTGGAGAGAGAGAGGGTATAGGGATCCTTAAATCCAGGGTAGTACAGACATGGACTGGTGAGTCTCTTTTAGCAATTCAATGTAGATCCATTGGTAGCAGAGCGAATAGGATTTTGAGTAGCAGGTGAGCAAGGATGAGCACAGATCTTAGCAGGAGAGACACCAGACCTGCTCCTGAGGTCCACTATGTTCCGGGTACCTTCACCAGCCATCAGCTGTCCTGGTTCTCATCCTCTAGCAATGGCAAAGGCCTCCTCCATAATTGAGTCCTAGTGAAACTCTTCACGCACTCCAAAATCCCCACCCCCCACGCCTAGCCTGGAGGGCATGTTGGATGGCACCCTGTCCTGGACTAATCCATGGTGGGCACAAGACTGAGCACATGGTAATTCCCTCCAGTATATGTACCCTATCCCAGCATGCACCACTGGTTCAGAGAAACCCAGTGATAGGCTAGTGATTTGCACATACACTCACAGTGTCCGTCATTGGCCATCCCACAATACAGCAGAGTCACACTCCACCCAGGTAGGTACAATCAATGCCAGACACCTGGAATTAACCAGATAAATACCACTATAATCCAAGCAGGCCGACTACAGCCCTGGCCATCACTAAATGTCTAGTAGCCACATCACAGAAGGTAATGGGGGCTACACTTCATTCATTCAACAGACCAAAAGGGAGCATACTCGTTAGAGCAGGAGTAGGCAAACTCTAGTCCTCCAGGTGTGGTGAAGCTACAAAGCCCATCATGCATCCACCTCTGGGATTCATGCCTGTGGCTCTCAGAGTCTTGCAATGCCTAATGGGATTTATAGTTGCACCACAGCTGGGAGGTGCAGGAGTTTGCCTTACCATTCATTAGAGGAAACCAGAGGTTGTCATTGCGGACCTTGAAAGAGCTAGTTACCTGTCATGTTGATCTATATCAGGGGTAGGCAAACCCAGCACTCCAGCTGTGGTGAAACTACAAGTCCCATCAGGCACTGCAAGACTGACAGCCACAGGCATGATGGAATTTGTAGTATACACACAGCTGGAGTGCTCTGACCTAAATCAATACTATGATTCACTGACTAGGAACAAGCATGCAACAAAACTAAGTAATGCTTTGTGAAAGGCAAGGGCGCACTTACCGGGGGGCAGAGGCTTAAGATACTAAAGCCATTTTATCAGAAAGACAACCTAGGAACGAACATTGTCGGAAAGGAGAGCTCAGTAATTTCCGCCTAAAATTGATCACGTTTCCTTTAATAGAGAACTATGGGGCAAGTGTTTTTCCTCCCTCACGGGAGGACATATACTAACCTCCTCCCGTGACCCAATGCTCAGTATATAACGAGCTACAGCTTGCTATATACTGAGATCGCCGCAGCCGGGACGGATCCCGGTCGAGATCCACCCAGCTGCGTGAGTGATAGCCAGCACAGCCTATCTAGAGGTAGAGCCAGCTGTACCCGCCCTCTTCCCCATTTTTTCCTCCAGTCAGCGTTGGAGGATCGAAGCGAGAAGGGGGGGGGGAATCCCTGCGGGGAACGGTGAGTGACAGTCACCGCTCTCTGCAGGGAGATGGAGAAGTGAGCGAGCGACGGTATGCGTTTGCTCACTTCCCTGATCTATTGAGCCGACGTGTGACAAATTCATTGTCACACATCGGCTCGAACTATGAGGATGAGTGAAAAATCACTCACCTCATAGCTCTCCTTTAAAGAGGCACTTGGTCATCATTTTGAATTTTGTGTGCCAACTTGTATCCCTGAATTCCCCATAATATAGTCCTAGTCTGCCTGGAATAATAAACAGGGCACCTTATTAACTATTATGTACAAGGCTGATGGAAGACCCAGTGAACAAAAGACGACGAAGAGAAAGGAACACAAAAAGGCTCAAACAAAGTTTAGTGATGACAAAGAGTTGCTGGGAAGATGCCGGCGCACAATGGGAGACATTCACCACATGCAGGGGAGAGAAGGCTCAGCTAGCTTTGTATGCAAAGCCTTTCTCTGACCGTGCCAACAAATGGTGGACAAGTAGCACTACAGGTAATCACCAAAAAGGGATAGGTGTAGGCAAAACAAAAAAAAAAGCAAAAACGATACACATGCAATACTTCTCCGCAATACAGGCGGATTTCCACCGTTCATTTCTTTAACACCTGCTGATCCTGACAGAAATTCAGTAAGATCCTAACGTTCTGTAAAGCTGCCCACACACCTTACGAATATCGGGCGATTTTCGTATACAATGGCGTTTTTGTCCGATAATCGTAAGGTTGATGGGCAGTGTACAACCGCAAATACTGTACAATCGATCGACTTTTGACTATCCAGCAGGTTAGAAAACTTCAGTTGATCGTACGATTTTCACAAGGTTGGTGGCGTTTCCGTACGTCAAAATTCGTACGATTTACACTGCACATGCGCATATGAAAATATGTGCAGTCGATTACCGCAATTCTTCCAGGTGCTTTCTTTTAATTACTGCCGATTCAACCTTGCGATGATCGGGGCAGGATGGGGCCGCCATATGAAAATCGTACGGCGGATCGATCGAATGAAAAGTTCCGTCCGATGATCGCAAGGTGTATGGGCAGCTTTAGACCCCGTTCACATTGAGCGATTTATCGCGCGGTATCGCGCTCCAATGCAATCCAAATGGGGCAAAGGGTCCTGCTGTCGCGGGTCGTGTGTCGCTACAGCAGGACCCTTTTTGGAGCGGATTTAGCCGCGATTCAAGCTTGCTCAATGCAAGCTTGAACGCGACATCGCGCGGCAAATCTCGCGATGTCGCGCAATATGCAAATCGCGCGACAAACGCAGTGGGAACGGGGCCTAAGGCAAAGCAAGGCTGGACAAACCTCAGGAGCCAGGTAGCCAATTCTCGTTAAAAATTATAGCTGGCTCCTAACGTTTGAGGTTTTCCCTAGTTGTGGTCAATGGAAATAAATTATTGATTTATTTCAGGTATTTATATAGCGCCGACAATTTATACAGCGCTTTACATAGCGCACATTCACATCAGTCCCCGCCCTCTAAAAGCTTACAATCTAAGACCCCCTATCTCCATGCATACAGGGACAATTTAGACAGGAGCCAATAACCTTTCCAGCGTGTCTTTAGAGTAGAGAAAGGAGGTATTTCCACAGTGGGGTGTGCAAATGCCCAAAGGGAGAAAAGAAAAGGGGCTTTTTAGAAAACAATCCCAGACCTCAAAAATAAAATCTTAGAAAAACATTTGAGATATCATTTTAAACATTCTTAAAAAGCAAAAAGGTGAAAGAAAAATCACAGATAAAAACATATGCGGATGCATTCACCATCCGGTGACAATACCGTACAGTTATTAAATCTGCAGTTGCTTGTTTTCAAAATTATATGAGTGCTCCTGTATGTCCCAACATGTTTCGCCCAAACGGGCTTCTTCAGGGGAAGAGATCAGGAGAAAAATATATGTGTCGTGCATATATCTTCACGTTTAGTTGATCAGAAGCATAAGCACAAGAATATGATGAAAGCAACTGTGTTTGTATTCAGATAGAAATTGATTCTGTCGAGCAAAGATTGCCACACACGATGCAAGTGGGGGGGGTCGCATCGGAGAGAGCACACTGTAGTCGTCAGGCGAGATGCATCAACAGCAGACGTTGTTAAATTGGAGGCTATAATGTTCTGCTTTTGTGCTGTAGTGTGTTGCTGTCTTTCTCCCAGGCGTCAGTGTCTTTAGAGTGTGGGAGGAAACCAGAGTACCCGGAGGAAACCCATGCAAGCACAGGGAGAACATGCAAACTCCATGCAGATAGTGACCTGGCTGGGAATTGAACCGGGGACCCACAGTGCTGCAAAGCAGAAGCGCTCACCACTACATGCAGTATATCTCTTACATTTGCCCATGCTTTATCACATTAAAAATGCTAGAAGCACAGAAATATACCTGGGGATCTGCCAGAAATGCATCAGCTCCTAAATTCCGGCATTGAGCTGACAACACTGTGCCTCTGCTGCATGACACCCTTGCCAGTTTTCTCCTTGAGGAGGTATTCAGTAGTCAAGCAGGAAATAACATAGGCCTTGCCTCAGAGGCAGAAATGTCAGTTCAGTAAAGTTAGGAGCTCACTAGATTACTGGTAGGATCAACAGATATGTTCATGCTATTGCATTTTAAAAACCAGGGGTGGACAAATTAAATTGGACTTCAGGAGCCAGCAAGGTTTTAATTTTAGGCGTCAGCTCTATTGACAACAATTAGAGATAACCTCAAAAGTTAGGCTCCAGCTGTAATTTTTAAGGCGCATTGGCTACCTGGCTCCTGGGATGTGTTCAGCCCTGCTTTAGGGGCTCGTTCACACCAGTTCACTTGGACGTTATTGATCTTCACAGATCAATGCAGACTCAGCGCAAGGGCGCGTAGAAAATCATTGTAAATGCAAAACGTACCTTACGTAGTCGACCTTCTACAGGCACAGATGTAGCTCATGTATATAGTTACATGATTGCGAATGATCTG